TTCTGCTGCTTTCTAGCATTCCTTTGCTATGTCGAATGCATCCTATTTGACAGGCCATCAGCCTGCTTTCCTGCCCCCAACCCTGAGCAGTTCCTAGTGGCAGGCACAAAAAGGAACACAGCTGCTATGTTTTCATATATCTGTGAGTCATTGGTTGGACTCAGATCATTGCCCTGCTTAGGGTAAGCTGTACAATAATAAATAGCATCAACTCAACACTATCTGCAAGTTGCTAACTTGTTGGCCTTACTCTTACTCCTCTTAGTTTCCGGACATGATCATTTGACTGTTGTTGGTTTTTTTTTAATGCAACTCCTCTCATTGACTGTTCACACACCTGCAGTTATTTTTGACCCTCAACTCAACAAAAGTGTTAATTGCCAAAATATGTTTGGCAAGAATTAAAGTTAAGTCATGCGCATCATGTGCTATTGCTCCCCCACTGCCAGCTCTTCTACATTAATGCCTATACGAAAGAGGAAAGTGCAGTTGGCCATAGCCTTCTCCATTTTCACATCTTTGCCCAAATGGCTGCCAGCTCTTCCTTATCCATTGATCTTCCTCTCCACTTGTTAATATTTGTGATCCTCTCTAATTTACACCCAGCTAATTGACTTCCTGGACTCCAGTCCATATACATGTCTACTCTCCCTGAAGCTGGTTTCTCATCCCCCTCCCTTGGGTGCTGCATGGGTGGTATCAATGGCACTGGTCTAAAGGGTCACTCAGTAGATCATGAAACTATTAATCTCAGGGCCATGGGTTCAAGCCCCACATTGGGCGAAAGATTCCTGCACTGCAGGGGTTTGGACTAGGTGATCCTCATATTTCCTTCCAACTATGAGTCTATGAACTCCATCCCTTGTCCTGACATCAGGAGTTCTGAATAAGGCTGCAGAAAGGGCTCATTTCAAGCCGGTAGATGAAATACAGTTACAGTACTTTGCTATGAACAGAGAGCAAGTTTTGCTGTACTATCGAGCAAAGTGCAATACAGTAGTAGATTCCCTTAGCACTGGCTGTCTTGAGATGAATGAGTTGAGAATTTAGACCTGTAATACAAAGGTTTTTTGGGGGGAGGACTTGGTATGTTACCATTACAGAGTTTCAATAAAAAGAGAGGCTATTGCATGTTTTCTCTATATTACTGAAAGTGCTAGTTCCGATACAATATTGTTTGATGATATAGGGACGCGGGTGGCGCTGTGGGTAAAAGCCTCAGCGCCTAGGGCTTGCCGATCGAAAGGTCGGCGGTTCGAATCCCCGCGGCGGGGTGCGCTCCCGCTGCTCGGTCCCAGCGCCTGCCAACCTAGCAGTTCGAAAGCACCCCCGGGTGCAAGTAGATAAATAGGGACCGCTTACTAGCGGGAAGGTAAACGGCGTTTCTGTGTGCGGCACTGGCTCGCCAGAGCAGCAATGTCACGCTGGCCACGTGACCCAGAAGTGTCTCCGGACAGCGCTGGCCCCCGGCCTCTTGAGTGAGATGGGCGCACAACCCTAGAGTCTGTCAAGACTGGCCCGTATGGGCAGGGGTACCTTTACCTTTACCTTTATTGTTTGATGATGGCTCAGGTGGTCTTTAGATATCAGATCTCTTAAAATAAGGAATGTCTATAACTACCACCTCTTGGAAAATATTGTCAAGACTTGATTGAAGAATGTGTATATAATACAGTATATGAATATATGTGGATCATATGTGGATATATGAATGAGTATATATGAATATATTCAATATTACTGAAGAAGTGTGCATGCACACGAAAGCTCATACCAAGAACTAACTTAGTTGGTCTTTAAGGTGCTACTTTAAGGAATTTTTTTTGTTTTGACTATGGCAGACCAACACGGCTACCTATCTGTAACTTCAATATTACTGTGCTTCTAGAGATAGAATTAGATTCATTGGTCAGTGATTGTAAAAATTAACCAAGCAAACAGGACCTCGATCCTACAAATGTTCATGGAAGAAGTCATGAAGGAAAACATTGCACTGAAAGCACCAAATCCCACTTCCTTTCTTTCGATATTTCGATTATTTTACAGAGAGAACAGATATTTGCAAACAGGGTGAAAATGCTTCCTGACTTCCCTTCTTATCTTTACTTCATTCTTCAGTGTATGTTAGTTAAGATCACAAGCAAGCTCCAGTGACGCATAAAGGGTTTCCTAATCCCTCCAGTTCACACAGAGGCATCTTGTTATCAGCAGGGAATGGATCAGTTCCTAGACTCCACAGCCACAATCCATCAAAACATTAGTCATCATGACTAAATCCTAGTGAAAGTGATGATGGGGTGGACATGACTTAACTTGAGTCCCATTTATTTCAACAGGGCTTAACAATGGGTTGTGCCTACTTTCTTTAAAGACTCTGAGATGCCTGGCACTGTGTGTATGTGTGCTTCAAAGTACTTCAAAGTAGAGGGAACACAACAGTGGTGCCATATATTTAGGATGTGAAATATCTCACCCTTAGAATTCCTACACACAAAGACAATGAGATTCTAGCAAAGTCAGAGTCCACAGCCCTTGGTCTAGGAATCTGACACTGCGCTATAGTTTAAATTCCAACAGCAGCTAGTTTATGGGGTGGAGGGAGGAACAGAATGAAGTCATGATGCTCCCAGATATCAGTGTCGCTCCAGTAACAAGACTCTAGACTTCTTGAACGTGACTGCAGAGAATACCACAGGAATGAACAGCCATTAGTCACCCCTGGCAAATGGTTTAACAGACTGTAGTGGAGCTGATGCTATATCCATCCATTGAGCACATGCTTTGAATGGACTTTCTTCCTCCAGTCTCCTGAGCTGCTAAAAACAGACTGTAAATCTTGCTCGGCGCTGGAGTTGCTGCTAAAGGCGCCCACATGACATAAAATAATATGCACCAAAGCACAGGACTGGCAGGTAGGGACAGCCTCACATCGCTGATGGATAATCAAGGTCGCGTCACTAGTTCCAGAATAAATTCCAGAGGTGGGGTGGAAAGGCAGTTCAAAATGAATTAAGCACATTTGGGGAACATGTGTCCATTTGATGCATTTGTGTCTTTCGTTCAGTTTCCTCAATTTGGGCTGTCCACAGAGTATAGGACACGCAACTAGAATACAGAGTAGGATGGAAAATACGCAGCACCGCAGAGTCATACAGAGATGGGCTGGGAATAATGGAAAGGAAAGGGAACAAGATGGGGGCAGACAGCTCCCCCTCAAACATCAACAACAGACTCTCAAGAGGGCTGCAGAAGCGCCATTCTGCGAACATGCGCTGTTTCTTTTGTGCAAGGGAAGTTAGGCTCCAAAGCCACATTACGGATGAGAAGGGGATGAGAAGGCAGAAGGAGTAGAAAGAGAAAGGGGCTATAAGAAAGAATGGATGGAACTTGTAATTCAGTCTGTTACATTGACCCCTACAAGTTTAAGAGATATGGAAGGGGTATGGATGGGCGAATCTCAAATTTATTTTTCTCTGCTTATTTTCCAAAGGTCCGTAAGTGGCGAACTAGATGCTTTGCAGTGGCAGACTAGATACCTTCAGGAAGCCCACAAGCAGAACCTGAGTGCAACAGGTCTCCCCCCCCCCCACTGTCTTATTATTCCCAGCACTAGCGTTCAAAATCATAATGCGTCCAATAGTGGAGTTATAATGCAGACATCGTGGCCATTGGCAGCATTATCCTACACAAATTTGAATTCGTCTAATCCTCTTTTAAAGCCATCCAAGTTGGTGGCCCCTTACTATAGCTCGTTGTAGCACTTTCTCCACACTTAATAATCTTATATTCCTCTACATAAATGCCTGTTTTGCTTGTTCCATAGGGCTTGCTCATGTTTGTTGCCCCTTTCTGAACCTTTTCCAGCTTTACAATATCATTTTGGAGGTGAGGCAACCAGGACTGCACCCAGTATTCCAAGTATGTTCTCACCACAGATTTGTATAATGACATTATAACACTGACAGTTTTATTTTCATTTCATTTCCAAATGATCCCTGTCATGGAACTCACCCTTTTCACAGCCACCACACATTAGGTTGACATGTTCATTGACCTATCCATTTTGACCCCAAGGTCTCATTCCAGGACAGTCATCACCTGCTTAGGCTCCATTAGTGCACTTGTGAAATAAGGAAAAAAATTTTGCCCCAATGTGGCACACATGCATACACTGAACTGCATTTGCCATTTGGGTGAAAAAGAAAATGATGGTGCCCTTTCCTAAGTGATGCAAGTCTATTAACCCAAAAGTTCATTTCTCTCATTCTTAATGGAAACTTCAACGAGCTAAAAAATGAGTCTCTATCAAATTGGTAATATGCAGATTTATGTAAACATAATGCATTGATTACATGTCAGTTGAATAAGCAACAAGTATCCAACAGACGTCCAAGTTCTACTGAAAGTAGACTAATTGAAATTAAGAAACCTAAATTATTCATGCCCACTAATATAATGGGCTAACAAACACTAACTCTGAGAACTAGCTTTGGATACAACTCTAGAAACTTAATCAGTCAACAGGCCTAATGTTAGGAACCCGAAACACAGCAAGGAAGAATTTAGAATTCAACCTTTTTTTCTTTTTTAAAATTATCCATCTCATTCATGAGTTGCCAACATGGTACCCCTGGATGTTCTTTAACTACAACTCCCATCATCCCTGACCATTGGCCAAGTTGGCTGAGACTGATGGGAGTTGTAGTCCAAGAACATACCGTCAGTTGGATTTTTACTATCAAGTGGTGTATAAATTTTATGAAATACATATATAAAAAACATCTGGGTGGTATCCCAGTGGCTACCCCTGCTCTAGTTATATACTTAGCAGCAAGAACAGCTAATAATGAAGTTTATGGGCACATCGTTCTTATAACAGCTCATCTCTGGTCACAGTGCACCAGTTCGTCCAGTTCTTGTTGCAAACACAGACCTCTGCATGACACTGCCTCCCCTGTCCCCATTCCCATCTTCCCCTTCCCTTGGACTTCCTGTTTTACCTAAATTTGAAGCTCTGTGGCAGGAAGTGGCCCATCTTGCAGTCAAGGCAAACTTGGTTGATCTGCTTCAGCAGGTCTTTCTTGCTGAAGCTGTATCCGTTGAAAACACAGCCCCCAAAGACTGGCTTCCCTCCAGCATACATCTGTTGACAAACAGGCAGGAAGGAGGGGAACAAAAATGCTTTGCAATAAAATATATATATATATAAGCGAGTTGGAAGGCTTGGACCAAATGGTTTCCTTTTCCTGTTATGCACAGGAGGCTTAAATGTTTTCATCCAGACATGAAGGGGCTTTGACAGCTCTCTCTCTCTCTCTCTCTCTCTCTCTCTCTCTCCACACACACACACACACACACACACACACAGACTTCCTGCACATCACTTAACACTCCTGATGTTGAATGAAACATCATTCACTTTGGGAAAGCAGAAACAGTACAGGTCTTACAGCCTGACCACAGAAAGGCTTACTGTAAACCCTTTTCGGCTGCTGTGTCCCTCGCAGGCAGTGCCTGCTGACCACACCCCTATTCCCCACAAATCACAGGAGATTCCCAGCTCCTTTTTGTGTGTGCCAGATATCAAGACAGCAACATATTTTCACATTTCTTTAGGTGTGTGTGGTTGCAGCAAAGTTCAGTGGCTCGCTCTTGGGTATATAGAAGATTAAATTGCCAAAAGTCCTGTATTTTAAAACTATTTGGTGTGTGTTTGTGTGTTTGGGGGGAGCATTATCGCCTAAAAGAACTACAGCAATATTGCTAATACAAGGCAAAGAGTCCACTTTTTTTAAAAAAGGAGGGTTTGTAGTAATTAATTTCAAAATTTATGGTGGGCATGCTTCCCTACTACCTAGGGCCAGTTAAAAAACTTGTTTTGTTTTTGTAATAGATTCATATACACAAATAAATAATATTTCTATTCAATGTACAGCAATAGCAATATGTAATGTACATATCTGCAGGCAATGTGCTATCGGATAGGGGGCTCTTATTACAAAAGGGTGTCAAAACTATTATGGAACTTGAGCTTTCTGGGCAGCAGGGGAGCACAGAGGAGAAGAGAATTTGTTTGTGCAGCAAAATGTCCTTCGGCCTCCAGACTGGAGAGGAGTGTAGCCCTTCAGAGTAAAGAAGCTGGCTGTCCTTACTTTACTACTAATGCAGTACAGTAGTTTATTGTTTATTTTTTTTAAAAAAAGAGTACACTGTAAAGGAAAATTCATTGGGCAAGAATAAGATTACAGAATATGGACATATCATGCTGGATAGAAAAGGTTCAAAAGCAGGTGGAGGTCAAAGACAGGACACTGCAAGTGCCTTACTGATGTTCATATGGGGCAAATGAATCCATCATAGGGGAGCAGCAAAAGTAGCCAGGTTGGTGTCCTCCAGCTGTTATTGGACTACAACACCCATCACCCTTGACCACTGGCCTTGCTTACTGGGATTTATAGGAGCTTAAGTCCAACAACATGTGAAGGGCACCACCTTGGCTATCCTTGCTGTTTGCTCAGAAGCATCAGCTTTCCTGAGTTCCAAATGTTCTCTACATCTCTCGCTATATGTATGGGGGCATATCAGTACTGGTTAAAATGAATGCATGTAGGTTAGGATGGAGCAATGATGCTTTTGCCAGCTCCCCACATCCATTCACTTAATGGATTCCAAATAAAATGGATTCCATTCACCCCAAATAAACATGTAAAAGGTAAGTGTCCCTAGAATTAAGACAGGACAGAGGAGGGTGTGTACAAGACACAACACCACTAGGCAGATAAGTGGAACAGCAAGAGAGTGGGCAGTGAGGCTAGGTGGAGTGCTCATGGAGGAGAAGGAGGGAAAGAAGGAGGGGGTGCATTGCAGGGGGTTGGAATAAATGGCCCTTGAGTCCCTTTCAACTCTAAGATTCTATGATTCTAAGTCAGAGCAAGAAAGGAAAGTCTCAAAGGGCTGACTGGCCAGGAAGGGGTGAAGAGGGTAAGAGAGGAAAGAGACGTGGGTGGGAGAGAAAGGGTGGCAGGCCACAGAAACAGGCACATGAGCCAGGAGAGAAGGCAGAATGTGGAGTTGCTCAGGAGAACTAGGTGGGGCCACAGAGAGAACAAGGGGTGTGGGTGGAAGGCCTGAGGAGGCAAGGATATGAGATCAGGGAGGTGGGATGGAGGGGCTCGGAAATGGTAAGGGTCCCTGTAGGAAATGGGTGGCTGGCAACCACATGCTCGCCCTGTGTGATTTAGCGTTGCTTCTGTGCAAGGAACAAAGCGTTCATTGTGAAGCCAAAGTTCTTTGGCAGCTGTAAGTTGCAGCCTCTTTTCTTCCCAGCTCTGCCCATTCAGAGCATCAGCAGTTCCCTCTAGTGGGCTTCAAGTGCCATAGAAAGCACAGTATTACTAAGTTTTAAAAGTCACCTTTACGTAGGAAGTAATGAAGTTTCAGGTGGTATTCACTATTTTCCTTTTTTAAAAAAACAAATACCCAGCTGGACAGATGGGAGTTGTTGCTGTCATTGATATTGTTTTTTATCTTTATTTTAGATTTATGCAGAAATTGTTGTGTACTTTTTTATTAATTTGGTCATGTGCTTTATTTTTATGATTATTTTGTTTGTAAATATGTAATTTCTTATATGTTGTAAGCCGCCTTGATCATGGTTTTACCTTTGGGAAGCGGTATACAAATAAAATGATTGATTGATTGATTGATTGATTGATTGATTGATTGAACTACAGTTCCCAGGATTCTTTGGGATAAACCATGACTGCTTTAAATGTACATTACAGATGGGGCCTTAGTCTGCATATGTAGTCGGCACCAGAATGATTCATTAACCCCGTGAATGTCACAGCCATAAGATATCGACAAGGCAGTCTCAAATACACCTGCTGGGCTTGCCCATTTCTATCTAGAGAAGAAAAATAGTCTCTATGCACTCATTAATTTACCTCTGTATATTATGGCTGACAGTGCATAGATGGTCTATGGCCATGGGTTGCAATTTACAATTTCTTTCAGGTTGGAAGAACAAATCTTAGTGTGTTCAACAAATCTTTCCAGCTGATAAAAACACCCCAGATATTACTGTTCTTCTAAGTCATTTTATAATCCGGTTTTTTTCTCCTGTGTGCCAAATAAGATGGCCAAATAAATATTCTATGCTTGATTCTTCATATGGAGTCAGCCTGCAAGAGTACAAGAACCCTTCTATTCTTGTGCTCTTCAATAGGCAATATTTTGATACAAAGAAACAATCCTTTTCAGGATAAAGGCATGGATCTATTTATTTTTACTTATAAAAATATTTATAGGCCACCCCATCACATAAAATATCAGGGCAGTATACAAGTGCAATAAAATGTGACATAAAAAAGATACAAAACAATCATAAAAATAGCTGGTTCATCTTGGAATAGTTTGAACAATTGAACAGACCTGTCAGTATAAAGAGGTCTTCAAGAGATGTCTGAAAACTAGCTGTGAGGATGTGTGCTGAATTTCTGCTGGAAGTAGGGCTGCCATATGTCGGGGTTTTCCCAGATATGTCCAGGAATTGGAGTGTCAAAATGGCATCTGGGTGGATTATTGATGAATCAGCAAATTTCTGGGGAAACCCAGGCATATGACAACTAGGGCGAAAATGCTTTTAAAAAATCCCTTTCAAGAAAAGCTCAACAACTCCCCCCTCCCCAAGAAAAAAAAGGTCAACAACTTTGTCCAGATTTTCCCCTTTGGGAATATGGCAAGTCTAGCTAGAAGAGTATTCCTCAGCAATGAACTAGTGAGAATAAATGCCTGACTTCTAGTTGAAGCTTCTTCTGGCCGAAGACCTTTTGGCACCTGAGGTGAACCACAAAATGAGACTCCCTTCCCCACCAGGGAAGAAGGGTTGAGTGAAGATCTACATCAGGATCTGCTGCCCCTGTGGATCCTGCCGCCTGAGGCAGTCACCTCACCCTGCCTCATGAGTGGACCAGGTCTGCATGGGGGTGGGGCAGCTAACAGTGCTTCTCTGGATGATCTCAGTGACTGAGCTAGATTCTAAAGGCTCAGGTGGCCCTTAAGGTACCCTGGACCCAACTTGTTCAGGGCTTTGCTTATGAATACAAGAAAGCTGAACCTGGTCTAGTAGCATATAGGCAGCCAGTGAGGGTATTTTAGCAGAGATGCCACATGCTGTTGGCCATCTGCCCCTGCCAGCAGTCTTGTTGCTTCTTGCTGCACTTAACTGGAGCTTCTGGACCAGGCCCAAGGATAGTGCCACACAGAGCAGTATTCCCAAGGTTAGCAATGCATAGACTACAGTGGATGCTACCCCCTGGGTTTTTAATTGTATTTCAGTTCGGTTTTTTAAATTAATTTGTTATCATTTCATTGCTTTATATGGTAGCTTAGTGTTGCGTTTTATTTAATTTTTTGCTTTGTGAGCCACTCAGAGAAGTCATCACGAGGCAGCTATATTAATGCAGTAAATAAATAAAATAATCCAAGGGAATGCTCACCAGATGCTGCTGCCTGGCACCCATCCATATTCAGCCAGTTATTATGCAGATTATTTGCACATGTCACATGCAAATATTATGGTTGCAATTCTAAACATATTTGCTTGGAAGTAATAGCATTTACTCCAAAGCAGACATGCATAGGATCTAGCTCTTTTAAAAGGGTCTTGGTTCTTAAATTTCTGGTGAACTCAGAGCTAACTAAATTGAATTTGGGGTGTAAAGGATAATATACATCTATGAAAAAGCTGAAAAGAGTAGATTAATTATGTCAGTACTAATTATGATCACAACAATATTGTGGGAGAGGGGAGAAAGTTACCTTACTTTCCCACCATTTCTTTTAATTATTTCTTCCCATGTGTATAATCTTGGGTGCCAGCCTTCTGCTGAGATGAATCAAAGTTCTTACCAGTGACCCACACCCCACCTCTGATTCACTTCCACCCCCATTTTTATGCAGTTAAAATATTCTCTCCTGCTATTAGAATCAATGTTGCCTGTACTTCAAAGTGGTATATAATATGATTAACTGCACTGGGACAGAGCAAGGGTGAAGTCAGCCAATAGATTCTTCTGTGCTGAAGGGAATGAATAATATCCTCCAAACCCTTTGAAACTCTGAACTTGACTACCCAGTGTGTGAGACTTCCATGGCCAGCGGTTTACAAGCATTTAATAGAGCACAGAAAGGCTTTCATTATCTGATTTGGCGCCTCTGTCAATGGGTCTAAATAAAAAACATCTCTCCTTATGTGCTTAAGGCTCCCAAGAAGAGAGCAATATACTGCAGGAATAACTAGAGTGGGAGCCCCAGTCATTCAACACAGTAGCACATTTTCTGCACAAAACATGAGGTTTGGGGGAGTCAACTGAATTCCAAGCTCTATTGCTCACTTGTTATATATAGAGAGATATTAAAACAGATCATGATGCTGAGTTCACAGATCAGATGATGAGATTAAATCAAGCGGAAAGAGTGCTTTAAAATCTTCTGTTAGAAAAGAAACCAAAGAGAGGAGTCAGGTATTTTACAGTGTATTTATAGGGATTGTGGATACAGTGCATAATCATTATGTAACTAGGACTACAACCCTAAACATACTAGGGAGTTCTGTGAAAGTCAACCAAGAGTCTCGTCAGCACTGGATATAGGGCACTTCCCCTGCACAGGGTGCTGAGCTAAGGAGCCACATAATCAGCTATATTTATATGGGTACTACTGAAAAGATCAACTGTACCAAAAGGAATTACTGTGAAAAGAAATATTTGGGGGCCCACCAAATTTTGTCCTTGTTCAGGGCACCATATTACCAAAATCCGCCCCTGGTCTAGTGGCACCTTAAAGACTAACAAATTTATAATAGCAAAAGCATTAGTGAACTCCTCAAAAGGTTGTGGGGTCTCATTTATTAGAAGTTTGTGTTTGTGTGAATTTTTGCAAGAAGAAAAAGACCAGATACTTACTACCACCATTCCAGGAACAACGGCATGCTTCTGCACCAGCAGAGGAGGATTTTTGTTTAGAGGGCACTCAAGATCATATCTCAGGAAGCGGAAGGGATCATGCTTGCACTGGGAATGGAACAAGTGATACTGTCAGTGTATTGGAAAGGTCCTGGGGGTTTCTGTTCTAACCAATCAAATATGTGTAACGTTTCTGATGCTAGGGAGCAGAAACAGTCTAGCACAGGAACTAAATATTGCCAACTCCAGCAGGCAGGTAGATGAAGTGGAGACAGTGAGGGCTCTAGCAGACCCTGTTTTCCTTGCATATGAGTAGGGTGTTTTTCGTTCTCTTTTCCCACCCACTGTTTGAAAACCTGTCTGAAAGCAGGAAGAACTTGTAGCAGAGACTTATTCCAGCTATTGGCCATATAAACTGCTAAGAGACTATGAGAAAGACTGAGATTATCAGCTTCACCGTAGAGCCCACTGAACCCACATCTCTCTTCCCCAAGGACTGATTTGCCATACGTTGCTTCCTTCATTCCAAAGTCACCAAAGCCAGTTTGAGAATGTTATCTATTGTGAGCACCTCAACTGTTGCTGTGCCCTGGTAGACTTAAACTGAGGCAAAGTCCAACAGCAACAGTGCTCCAAGGAGTACCAGGCTTCTGAATCTAGCCTCCATTTTGATTTCTCACGATGCTCTGATGTAGTGTTAATGTGGCACATTGTGGGGAATTAAAACGGCAGCAAGATCCAACCATTGTGTACTGGTCAAACAAACATTTTAAGGCGAGTCCAGGGCAGACATCAGCAATGAGCCCTGCTGAGATGCTCTGGTCCTGGCAACTGCCCATGGATGACATATACTGGCACAGGCCCTGAAAATAAATGTGTTGAAAAACAGTATCACAGCCTGGAGGGATCATTGTGGGGAGTGAAAATGTTGTGGCTGGAGTTCCTGTGCCTGTAACAAAATATAAAGGCCTCTCACCTCTGTGTCCATTTTTCTTGAGGGATACGAGAAATTCACAGAGGATAAATACATAACAGTCACATTGCTACATTGCTCTATGTACCAATACCACCAAATACCAATTTCTGAGGACAAATGGTGTGGGATCTGTTTTTCACCTTCTTGCCCTGCCTGTGGGCCACAAGATGGCTGCCGTGGGAAGCAGAATAGTAGACCAGATGGGCCTTGGCAGTCTGTTCTAGCAAGGCATGTTCTTATCAGGCAATATGTGTCTGTGTGCGCATGAGCTGCCTAAATGACAGGGAGCCTGTCCAATACCTTTAGTGAAAAGAAGCCAAGTAAATAGGGCCTCATATCTAAGGTGTGTATATGCTTCACCAAAATCCAGTTTAAGTACCAAAGTAGTCCTATTCTTGTGACAAGGAAAGACTGATAGGGTGTTGTGAATCAAATATGGAAATAAGCAGAAGCTGTTTATTTGTATGACTTTAATTTACAGTGTAATTCTATGGATGTTTTGCAGTTCCATTCTGCCTATTGGGGATTAGAAAGTGGGCATAACATCACAGCTTTATCTATTTTGAGAGGAGTGACAAAGAGTTTTTGGTGCAGAGAATAGAAGGGGTCACCCAACCATTGGAAGGTCTCCTTTTGGCTTCCACCCTCATGTTTCAGAGTATATCTTATTCTCAGCTTCCATACACTCCAGAAACATGCTTTTAAACTTAATTAAAATGAACAGGAAGAAGACTTCTGTGTCAGATATCAAATCCTATGCTCACAAAATGCAAACACAGATGTACAACCAAAACAACTTGTGTGTGTGTGTGCGCACGCGTGCACATGCACGCACATGTTTAGCAGCTAGCTTACCTGAATACAAGGTGAGGGACGGCCATGTTGCATTTGTATGTACAGATTTTCGATGGACCACTCAAAGAAAGGGGAGTAGGAATGATCTTGAGGCGAGATCACACAGATCACAATGACCTGATCAGGGTCTCTTGGGGCAGTAATAAACTTTTCAAATTCCAAGTCTGTAATCAATGGGATCTTCACCACACACCTGCAGCATAAATCATCTCCAACTTTAGACATAATTTTGTGTAGCACGACCGGACAGTCAGCAAGAGAAATTGCCCAAGGTTCTGGTGGACGAACTGCATCCTTAGCTGCAGACACCTCTCCTTTGCTCCTGTGAGAAGCACGTGATGCGGTTGTGAGAGAAAGAGAGGTAATTGTGGGGGTGGGGGGCAGAGAAAGCAAAGTAAAGTTGCGACTTGAACCCTAGTCAGAGGTTGGTTAGTTATTTTAAGCATTTTCATACTGCTCTTCAATTGTATTCATGAGGGTGGCATACTAAAAGCACAAAACCATTAAAACATAAATAAAATCATAATCTAAAAGACACAGAATTAAAAGAAGTAGCATAAAACAGCCAGCAGCATTTAAACTGCATCTTCCAACATGGGGAAATAAAAAGTTATTTCTGCCTGGGACTGAAAGGACAATGAAGTTGGTACATATGGAAACAGGTGGTCCTTGGGATGCTGTCTTGTATTGAGTCAGGCCAACTGTCCACTGAGCTCAGTGGTGTTTATACTGACTGGCAGCAGCTCTCTGGGATTTCATAGAGGGCTTTCTCCCAACCCTACCTGCAGATGCTGAGAACTGAACTTGCTGCCCTTTGCACACAAGGCAGATGCTTTACCACAGAGACGTGTCCTTCTCAAGTACAGTTCTGTTATGGTCCATCAAGGGAAAATGCCAAACATGATAGAAAGCAGGCTGCATAGTTGAGGACCTGGTCAGCAACTAGTTAAGGAGATGAAGGAATGAGTGGTGGGCCACAGCTCCAATCAAGCCTGTCATCTTCCAAAGTGGCTTGCCAACAATCTCTGTTTCCATAGCCCTTATCCCAGTTAATGCCTCTTTAATTTTTGGGCTGGCTAAGGGGGCGGGGGCAAGGGAGAAGCTGGGTTTGGTTTTGAACTTCCCAAAACAAAATGTGAACCAAAAGGCAGCAATCTTTTGAAATCTGCAGTTTTCTGAATTTTGTGGTGCAGTTCTCCAGGCCCCCTCCCCCCAATGTTTATTAGGGGAAAGCGTGGACAAAATTGTGAACACAAAAAACTACATTATATCAGGGGAAACAGCAAGCAAGCCCATTAGGATAAATGCACACTAAAATGCTGATGAATTTTGTGAGGGCTTCTTTTGAAAATAATCAATCAATCAATCAATCAATCAATCAATCAATCACAAGCTGGGGTACAGGTGTGATGAACTAAAGATTGGAAAAAGGAGAAACTGAGAGAAACCAAAACGGACAGATTTGTCCAGGGACTGGGTTTTCTGCAGATTGAGGTTTGTCAGCAGTAAAGAGGTTTTGCTGGGGAAAATGGCATGACACAACAAGAAGAACACTCCAGCCCATGCTGAGAAAGCACAAGGAGAAGTCTGTATGAGGAGTAATTCTCTCTATAGTTTCTCTCCTGTTTACGTTTTTGGCTGTTTTAGTGCTCCAGGGAACATTTAGCACAGCAGTTGTCAATTTAGTGACCTTCTGATGTTTTGGACGAAGGCTCTATGATGGACAGAGCTTTGGTCAGCCTCCTGAAGACTTCAGAAGCCAATCAATGAAGAGGGAGTGAAGAGTTCAAAATTTGAACCTGACAGTTAAACTGTCAGATTGGGATGGACTATAAAATAGGAATCAGGCCGGGACGGGAAGGGCTGAGTTAGGGCTGAGACAGAGATAAATTATTTTTAATAGATTTTAAAAGTATGTGATACTGTGTTTTAGTATTAATGTTGTGTTTTTATTGTTGTAAACTGCCCTGGGACCTTAGGGTGAAGGGCAGGAATAAATTGTAGTAGTAACAACAACAACGATAATAAACTGTCAGATGGGAATCAGACTGGGATTAAATTAGAGTCTGGAAAGGGGTTAGCTAGGCAGGGCCATCCTGATTATTTCCCTGAGGGGAAGGTAAAGATTTTCCCAAAAGGGCCTGGGTGTGTTTTATTGGCTTAGTAGAACAAAATAGCCATCCTAGGAGGAATTAATTTATTCAGAAACAACTTAAAGTGAGAGTTTTACGTAAAGTTCTTAACTATCTCTATAAAGAGCTTTTGACTGAAACGAAGGGTTGTGCCTTATCAAAGTAACCATTACACTATAACCCTCATCAAGAGTGTATAAATGAAATTCCAGTTCGGTTTACAAAGTGCCTCATCGTTACTTTGATCCTCTAGTTGAGGGATAACTGGCCACAGGTTTTCTCTTCACATTATTAAAAATCCTTGCTGCTGGATATTAGAAAACACTACCACATACAGATGACATCAGACCTCTCAAATTTTACTGACGACAGGGAGTGTCTAAATTTCAAAGCACCCAAATCTGGTCATGTTACATCACTCCCATCTTTATCGAGGGAGGTTGCCATAATGCCATAGGCTCCATTCAGCCCCGGCCAGGTAGGGTTGGGACTCCAAAACCATCAGGCAGGCACAGGGCCAGATTTAGGTTTGATGAGGCCCTAAGGTACTGAAGGTAATGGGGCCCTTTATACGTCCACCTGTCCTTTGTCTACAACAAATTGTCGCTGTTTTTCGTGTTGAATATATGCTATATGGTAATTTATGGACCTAATAGGTATCTAAAGCCACATAACAAATAGGAGCCTACACAACACAAAACACTGTTGCAGTATGTAGGTTTTATTTTGTTTGTTTTTTATCTTATATTTTGGAAATGTACATCCATGTTTTTTCCCCTTTAATTTTTTTGGGGGTGCCCAAGAGAGTGAGACCCTAAGCTACCAGCTTGTTTAACTTATACGTAAATCCGGCACTGGGCGGGCACCAGGTTGGCAAAGACTGTTCATGCAAATGCACCCATTATGGCAGCTTTTTTTTCTACTGCAGGATCCTTGCCAATTTGGGCATCCTTTAGTGCACTTGAGACCAAGCATCTCTGCATCCTACACCTTCTGCATCCATGTCATGCATCTGACGCAATGTGCCATGGCCTAAAAGTCAGAAGCAGCCTGCAGGGCAGTGTTGTCCATCCAGTTTCCCAATGTAGAGGTCACTGCTGCCAGCTGAGAGGCAGATTGGCACGGTAAGGGTGCTGTGGAGGGAGCATCAGAATGGCTCTAGTGCTGCACTCACACCACACCTTGCCCCTTTGTCCTGCTTACTGCTGCCCACTGAAATGCCTGCTTACAAGGATCATATCTGCAGCCGGCTAACCCACATGATTAGTCCTGCTTTTCTATAGAAACTAAGACACACTTCCCCCACAAAAGATAACCCCACTGACCTTGAAGGAGGCCTATGTTTCCCCCTGAAAGGCTTATCAAAGGCAAGATTCCGTGTAAGATATGGCTTGACAACTGATCTCCGTTTAGCGGCCAAAGGTCTGGTATCAACTCGATCCCAGGCCAGAAGTACTGGTTCCTTTAACAAAAACTTCACTTGCTTTGAAGGGGCAAGGTCAATTGGATAGTCTACACAACATATCCCTGCCATAGAAACAAGAAGAGAATTGTCAGTTATTTTTGACAAGGCAGGCCCATTGGAGCTACTGGGACACAGTTCTCCCAATGAGAATGCAAAATAATAATAATAATAATAATAATAATAATAATAATAATAATAATAATACTTACCCGCAATATCTCAAAAACATATTCTTCCCTGTCCCACATACATTTTATGCTTTTATTTGAACTCAAAGAAGCTCTGCAAACATTTCTGTCAATCCACTGTTCTCTGTCCAATCAGATCTCTGCACCACTCAGCCAACACTAATCCAAAAGCATAGCTATGGCAGAAAGGTGCCCCCTATCTGTTTCTGGGCAGAGAAAATACAGCCATACCTCATGTTATGTTTGCTTCATGTTACGTTTTTTCACGTTGCATCCCACAGCGACCCGGAAGTACCGGAAAGGGTTACTTCTGGGTTTCGCCGCTCGCGCATGTGCAGAAGCACTAAATCGCACTTCGCACAAGCGCCAAATCATGCCACGCACCTGCACAGATACGGCGCTTCAGGTTGCAGGCTTTTCATGTTGCGAATGGGCCTCCGGAATGGATCCCGTTCGTAACCAGAGGTACCACTGTACATGAAATTTGAGTATCAAGACTGCCAGCTTTTCAGTCCCAGTTGTGAAGGTTACTCCTCCCTCTTCTTACGAGGGCAATTCCAGCATCTGTATAGGGCAACACAGGGCTGATTGAAGAGCAGCCCTCCTTGCCTTCTGAGCATGCTCAGAGCTATTTCTTTGAAGACCCCATCTCCAAACAGTGCAAAGGACATTATTTGTACTAGTCAGAAGAATAATGTGGTTGCTAGCTTGAGCTATCTTTTTGACTAAGAGAGTGCAATGGGAGACACAGTGTGAGTCTCTTAAAACCTAATTATTTAGGTTTTAAAATGCTGTGTGTGTGTGTGAGAGAGAGAGAGAGAGAGGGGGGGGGGAGAGTGTTTGGTAAGCTACTGCAAGAACAGGATGTTGGTCTGATCCAACAGGATATTCTGCTGTAGAGATTCTATTTGTACAAAGGATACACGTTGTAGAATCGCCAAATTAAATACAAAGAGGTTTCTCACTGGTGAGGCAGGTGCACTCTGTGCATGCTCATTCCATTTATTTCTGAGTCTCATAGTGCCTAAACAGGCTGTGGTTTGTGGGGCACTAACATTACACTTTGATTGAGTTAGCTAGCATCTGCACACTTTCCTTCTCAGTAAGCCAAAAATGGTAAGAGCCATATTGTCGTTAAAAAACAACAACAAGCACACCAGTTTCTTGATTCTTTCCTTTTTAGGTTATGCTTTCTTTTGTTCATTATTCCAAACCTAGTCCCCTTTACTCAATATAAAACTGGGGCAGGCAAACTGGACAGAGACTGTTTATTTATTATTTATCGGTATTATTATCCATTCTACTTTTCCTCTGAGGAGCTCAAGGTGGCATTCATGTGTCTCCTTTTCCCCAAGTTATCTTCACAGCAACTCTGTGGGGTAAATTAGGCTGAGAGACAGATGGGCCAAAGGCCACACAGCGAGTTTCATGGCTGATTCTAACACTACAGATATGACTATAAGCACAAAACCTAATAATAAAAAATCAGGTTCCACATTCTGAATTTTATACTTTTTAATGTTTAGATTTTGAACTTTTAGTGGAACAAGTAAGACTCAAGAATTTGGCCACACCAAAATTCATTCTTCACTGGATGAAAGACCATTTCATTCATTCATTCATGGTGTGTGTGTGTGTGTGAAGCTTGTACAATTATTCATTTGAGTTTTAATTTGTATCATCATGGTGGGTGTGGGTGGATTTAGGTGTGTAAGAGAGATAGAGAGACCTCAGGATGCAAATTAAATTACATGCAATATGAATACCACATGACCAATAAGAATTACTATACCTGAGACCATCAAAATGCCATTTATAAATTGTCTCACTATCTTCTCAAACCTCTTCTTAATCTCTGTTAAGGCTCTGACCCATTGTCCTTCCTGGTCACCACTATCTGTGCTTTTCCCAGTTGGCTGTGGTAAGTAAAGAGAAAAGGAATTATTATTATATTTGGGCAAATGGAAATTTATCCATGGGAGAAGTGGCCCTTGCTGCATTTTGAGCTATTTGGAAATAAGGGAATATCCCCTGCTAAAACCCACAATACCAGCGTGCGCAGTTCAGCACCTAACCTTCCTCTGAATGCACAAGGCACTGCAGTTACAAATTCTAGCAAATTTTACAAATATGGATTTGAAAATATTTTTGTTTTCCTAACACATACATCAACAGTTTTGCTCTCAACGAGAAAAGGGAATTTAAAATATACATACATACCTATATCTATATCTATATCTATATCTACCGTATATATTGTACACACAACACACACACACACACACACACACACACACACACACACACACACACACACTGTATTTAAGAAGTGGAAGCAGTAGGGGGGAATGCCAGCTGGGACAACAATGAATTCTTAATCTAAAGAATGGCCCAATTAACACCAAGTGGCTGAGAAATATGTCATTCAGCCAGCCTATGAAGGCAGCCTGTGGGGTAATAAAGCATTTTAATGCAAAGGCTGTCTTTCCACAAAAGTGCATTCACAAAATAAATATTTAGAAGAAAGACCAGGAAATAGGCTCTTAAAGAAAAAGGTTGCCTTTAATGCAGGTTTCAGTGCCGTTCCTGAGGGCTACTCTTCAAAGGTCAATGGGACTCCAGGGAAGCAATTTGAAAAGAGTCAAATGTGGCATACTTTCTTTTTATTATTATTAAGAAAGAGGCAAGCATGGTTTGCTTACTCGCCTTCATAGAAGAGTTAGCTTCTGCTGATAAGCATAAAACCTGGCTACAGGGATGTGTTAGCTAAAGGGCACAGCACTCTAATGTGTGAGGCTTAAGGCAATGTGCTGGAAAACTTAGGACCAAACAATGCATGAAGCCAAATGTGCTGTTAGGAATCACATTGGTGGAAGAGTATGCACAGTCTGGTCACCTCACCTCAGAAAGACTGATGTAGAGCTAAAAAGGGCTCAAAAAGGGGCAACCAAAATGATAGAGGGGGTTACTGCCGAGATCTGTGATACAAGCATGAGGCATCCCTTGTGATGAGACATCGCTAGCAGTACAGTGTGTGATAGCATAACACAAAAATATCACCGCAAATGTGATACTCTGCCTTTTCTTATCTGGAATGGAAACAACCAGACTAAAATAATATTCATTAGGCTTCCTGTTTCCGGCAGTGAGAAATGTCTGACTCCCACACGATCAGACCCCAGCCGTGCTGGTAATTCAGGGTTGATATGGGGGTAATTCAAATAGAAGGGGAAGAAATGGAGGCAGTGAGAGATTTTACTTTCTTGGGCTCCATGATCACTGCAGATGGTGACAGCAGCCACGAAATTAAAAGACGCCTGCTTCTTGGGAGAAAAGCAATGACAAACCTAGACAGCATCCTAAAAAGCAGAGACATCACCTTGCCAACAAAGGTCCATATAGTCAAAGCTATGGTTTTCCCAGTAGTGATGTATGGAAGTGAGGGCTGGACCATAAAGAGGGCTCATTGCCAAAGAATTGATGCTTTTGAATTATGGTGCTAGAGGAGACTCTTGAGAGTCCCATGGACTGCAAGAAGATCAAACCTTTCCATTCGTAAGGAAATCAGCCCTGAGTGCTCACTGGAAGGACAGATCCTGAAGCTGAGACTCCAATACTTTGGCCACCTCATGAGAAGAGAAAACTCCCTGGAAAAGACCCTGATGTTGGGAAAGATTGAGGGCACAAGGAGAAGGGGACGACAGGGGATGAGATGGTTGGACAGTGTTTTCGAAGCATGAGTTTGACCAAACTGCGGGAGGCAGTGGAAGACAGGAGTGCCTGGCGTGCTCTGGTCCATGGGGTCACGAAGAGTCAGACACGACTAAACAACTAAACAACAACAATGGGGGTAATTAGCCCTGGCAGACTCCCCAGGGTGGGGGAGGACTGTCTCATAGACCCACAGACCATCCAAGATTGTCAGCTTGCATCAAGGTGCAAGTGGCAGGACGCTGGGTCCCAGAGCACGACACGGCTGGCACTCTCCGAAGTCACTCTCATAAGCCGGAAATATATGTTTGATAAAATAATTAGATTTGGACAATAAACAGACATAGTCTGGACCGAAGAAAATTGAGAAAAACCTACAGAACTGTACAGTCCCTGGTGTTTAAGCTCGGACTTCAAAGAGAATCTCATCATGGCATTTGGATTACGGAGGTGATTGGTATGTCCTTTTTTTCTCTTCTCAATATCTGCAATTCGTTTTCTATGCCAAGCCTCATCAAGAAACCTTTTTTTTTTTTAAGTACAGATGGACTTCTATTTACAATTAAGTATTTAATTGTACAGCTTTACTTAGACTTGAAAGACTTGATAAAGATAAAAGAAGAAACAAGATGGCGCTTGTTAATATGACACAGCACGGAAAAATAAGAATTCCTCCTTTTTTCGAGGGAAGTGGGAAATACTTGCTAGCTGACTTTATAAAGACTTGAGACAACAATTTGGGATAACATACAGTGCATCTGTTTGCAGAATTTCTTCATTATGAGCGAGAGAGAAGGCCAAATGGAGGTCTTGCAACCCCCCTTCTAGGGCCCAGAGGGGGGGATTGTGTGGTCTCTGGGAAGCCTGATCGACTGTCAAATGACTTATATCTGTGGAATGCAGTTCATTTACATTGCAACATTGCAAACAGTATACTCAACAATTTAACAATTAACCACATGGAAGTTACTGCGTCATTAAATTTCAAATGACAGACTTGGACAACAGCCCAGATTGGAAGACTGGAATGAAATCAGGAAAAGCTGTGTTGGCAATTCAACAGTTGAAAATATATATATACATAAACAAAGCTGAACTCAATGGATGAAAGGATATATGATTTCTGATATGATTGAGAATCGCATAGCCAGGGACGGAGAACTTTAAAGCATTAAGATCGGAATGTGGAAAATATGAGAACAACAACAAGAAGGCAGGAACGAAGATATTGTAGATATACTTCAGAGGTCCAGACTATGGGAAGACCAGAAAAAATTAATAATTAGGACTGTAATTTGGTTGTTTTTTATTGGATTATAATTGGATTATGATTTGATTGATGTGTTAATTGACTGTTTTTATTGGAAAATTAACAAAAATGATTTTTTAAAAAATGATACTCCTTCATCCTGTGGATTGTAGTGGTACCTATGCAGTTTGTTGTATGCTATCTTAAATGATTATTCCATTTTTAATGCTTTGTGAGAATTTACTATGTATATGTGATTTGTATGTTTGTGAGAATTTACTATGTATATGTGATTTGTATGTTAGCTGCCTTAGGAACTTACGTTGAGGAACGATCTGATAGATAGATAGATAGATAGATAGATAGATAGATAGATAGATTCTATCACAATCTACAAACCCCCTCAGGGTTATGAAAAAGTCAATGGACATGCAGTTACTGAATATCCTGTTGTTACTTGCATAATGTTGTTTCCATGCTGTGACTTCTTACCTGCCTATCAGATTTGGATCTATGTGTGCATCCCTCTCTTACCAAAGACAAGGTGATGCTTTCACTTTGTTCGGTGAAGGTAATTGTCATTGAATTTTGATTAACAACCTTGAGTTTTAGCTGTTCATTTATCTAAGGAATAAAAGAAGATAATGAAAGTCTTAGGGGCTGATTCACACAATTGGCATTTGCCACTGTCATCATGCTTACAGGATTGTACCCAGGCTCAGTCCTACTCAGAGCAGTCCCATTAGTGGACATGACGGACTTAATTTCAATGAGTCTTACCTCTTTTTATAAAAATAATATTTATTACTTTTCCAACAATTTAAACACTACAAAAAAGAAAAAAGAAAAAAAGAACAATACAATACAATGCAATACAAAAACACTTACCTGAGTATAATTTAGTTAGGTGAAATGCAAAGTGTAAAAACCTTCTTTCCCACATCTAAAAGTTCCCTCAACTAGTGGTGATGAATTTGTGTGGAAATGTTGCCCAAATTTGGGGTGCAGGCTCTGCATTGTTTAGGCTTCATGTTACTGTGATTCTGATGGGGAGTTCATTATAGTACTTTATGTCCACAGCAAACTCAAGTCTTGGACAAATGGGGCATTTGAGTTCCAAGCTAGATGACATTAGTTGTGTGAGTGCACTCAACACGCCATGAGCTAAGCCATGGCCTGGCTAAGTGTGTTATCCAAACCTAACCTCATGGATTCTCATCCAGACAACTCAAAAACAAATCTTGATTACAGCTCATGGTTTATCTGGAGCAAGACAAACCATAAACCAGGGTTGATATGACATGCTAAGCCAAACCATGTATTAGCCCCCAGCAGCACAGCAGAGGGAGGACCAAGGGAGAAGTTCAGCAGCTGTGATCTTGTCTCTGGGAACCCTCACACAAGTGAGTTTGTGGCAACTAGCCCAGTGCCTGCTGGCAGTTCTGGGATTTTTAAAATGTGACTCTGGAAACCAGCAGGAACAAAGCATAATCTGGAATCTCTGCCTATAATTTCTCTCAGCTAGAAGAGCACACTTTTAGAGATCTTTGTAGAATTCTAGAGAGACCAACCACAGAGTCAGCTATTCCAAAAATGTGAGGTGTTAGTGTATTCTTTGGTCTGAGAGTTTCATTTGATACCTGATAGTCCAACGACTGCAGAATCTGGTTTTTGGAATACCAGCTCCAGTGCTGGGTTAAATAGCCATCCTTGTCTCTAATGCTCCCTCCTTCATTATTCATCATCAGTGCTATTGAACAGCTGGGTGAGAGGAAAAACAGTTAAACTATGCAATTTAATACTAAGGGAGAAGTTGGTGGGAATACATACATAATAAAGATTCTGACTGTAGCGATTGCAGTAATATTGGGAAATTCATAACAAGGAACTCAGTGGCCCAATTTTTTAATATCTTGAACTGATGTGATTGAACCATAATATCTGTAGCCCACAATAGATGTTATAATACTGTTGCACACCTCCCCAGTCTCCAAGCAGTGTGAGATTCCAGAGGTTCCAGGGTTCATGTTTCTTTGGGAATGAGGCACAGCAGAGACTGTGGCACCTTTATGATAGAGGGTTTATTTACATATATATATATATATATATATATATATATATATATATATATATGCAGGTTTTGGTGTCCTCGGGTGTCTTCCCGTGTAAAAGTTGGGGTGTCTAGGCGACGTTTCGACGAGGTCTCACTCGTCATCTTCAGGCTGGTGCTTTCGGCTTCTTGTTACTGGAACAGAGCAGGATCTCAGTGTTTGAGTTCCTATAAATACTGTTGAGGGGGTGTGGTGTATAGCCTCCAATGTTCTGGGCAGAGAGGAAGTTCCCAGGTTAGTGTGCCTTTTCTTCTTTTGTTCCTTAATTACTTGAGGGATATCTTGAGTGATTTCTTGAGTGATATCCTGAGTACCACTTAGGTGGGTCATTAGGTGTGGATTAGTTGCTAAAGCCTTCGTGTCTTGACCTCTTGAACTTTGTGAAGAGTTTTTCTGAGAAGATGGCTGTACTGCAATTAGTTGTGTTCTGGCTTGGCTTCGTGTATAGGGGCGAGCTGTGGTTTTGTGTCCTGTGCCAGCCAGATCTGTGTAGGGATTGCAGGGGGGTGCAGCATCCGGAGGTGCCACCATGGTTTGGCTACTGGATGGTGTCTGTAATTTATCTGTGGAGAGGGTCTGGGTTTGGGTCTGGTGTGGTTGATTGGTGATGGCGTTCTGTGTGCCTCTGGATCTGGTGTCGGTTTTTGTGGGGAGGGCTAATTTCCAGATGTCTGGAAATGCCGTCAAAAAAGAAGAAAAAAACTTCCTCTCTTTTCCAACACATGAAAGAAACAGGACACGAAATTAATTTTGCAGATTCCAAATTGCTCTCTAACATGGAACATCACCACAAGAGAATAATCATGGAAGCCATCGAGATAGAGAAACACCCTCACAACATGAACAAGCGTGACGACACATCCCGCCTGCCAGACATCTGGAAATTAGCCCTCCCCACAAAAACCGACACCAGATCCAGAGGCACACAGAACGCCATCACCAATCAACCACACCAGACCCAAACCCAGACCCTCTCCACAGATAAATTACAGACACCATCCAGTAGCCAAACCATGGTGGCACCTCCGGATGCTGCACCCCCCTGCAATCCCTACACAGATCTGGCTGGCACAGGACACAAAACCACAGCTCGCCCCTATACACGAAGCCAAGCCAGAACACAACTAATTGCAGTACAGCCATCTTCTCAGAAAAACTCTTCACAAAGTTCAAGAGGTCAAGACACGAAGGCTTTAGCAACTAATCCACACCTAATGACCCACCTAAGTGGTACTCAGGATATCACTCAAGAAATCACTCAAGATATCCCTCAAGTAATTAAGGAACAAAAGAAGAAAAGGCACACTAACCTGGGAACTTCCTCTCTGCCCAGAACATTGGAGGCTATACACCACACCCCCTCAACAGTATTTATAGGAACTCAAACACTGAGATCCTGCTCTGTTCCAGTAACAAGAAGCCGAAAGCACCAGCCTGAAGATGACGAGTGAGACCTCGTCGAAACGTCGCCTAGACACCCCAACTTTTACACGGGAAGACACCCGAGGACACCAAAACCTGCATTCCTGTACCCGTGAAAATCTACGAAAGCATATATATATATATATATATATAGCCTGAGCCTACAATGGAGGAGTTCACAGCATCAACACCCTAAAGGGTCTTGTTTCTCCCATAGCCAGAGCCTTATATTCAAAGAAAAGCTTGCTGCTTTGCTTCTAAGTCACATCACTGCCAACTCTCACATTTGTCTTTTTTCTAACTACCAGCCAGCTGGGCCATTACTTTTCTCTGGTGTGGAACCTAAGTCCTTGCAGGCTTTCAGAAATTACCGTATTAAAACGGACTAGTTGCATGCATTTACATCATTGCGTGAAGTCAGGTCAGTCTAATGATCCCTTTCCTCATTCCCACAGGGACACCAGTTGGTCTCCCCCTTTTTAGGGGTCCCTACTTTCTTATGGACAGAAGGGCCTGCCAGATCAGGCTAGTTAGCCCATCTAGTCCAGCACCCTGCTCTCACAGAGGCCACCCAGATGCCTGGGGAAAATCCTCAAGCAGCACCCAAGCACAAGAACACTCTCCCCTCCTGTGGTTTTCAGCAACTGGTATTCAAATGCATTGCTGCCTCCAGCCATGGCCTCTTTAACCCTGGCCTCTCAGTTTCCTCAGATCTCTCTATAGCTGCTGTGCTTTTGTTCTGGTTGCTCTTTACTCCCCAGGAAATATCATTCTGCCCCTGTCTGGCTGCAGAACTATGTTAGCCCCCCCTCCTTCCAATCCCCTTTCCAAATCCTCATCACTCCAATGACCTTTTTCTCCCTGAGCAATGCCATGTAGCGTAACCATTAGTTACACCCAGTGGGGTTATGCTTTTAACATCTGCCATTAGCAGCTTCCTATATCACACGCTTTAAAGACTGAGAAGTGAGATAATTAATTAATCCTCCCATATAAAAGGAATGATGGATGCAAATCATGACAATAAATGACCAGTAGCAGATCTACACTACTTGGTTTTAAAAGTCTACCATGAACGATAAGGCACATTTGATTTAATTGGGGTTATGGCCCTTGGCTTTTCCATCCATGTCACTGGCTAGTTATGTGACCTTGAGCTTTCCCTGTGTTTCTTGTTTATTCATCTGTAAAATTGAGATAATGCCTCTCTCACATGATACCTAGGAGGTCCAGGAAATGAAGGCATTTCTATAAGCACTCATTAATATCTTTATAATCCTGAAGTTACTACCACCACCCAGTCAGCAGAGTTGAATGTTCTGAGCCTATGAGACACTTGCAGGTATCAATATAAACAGCTTGTTCTAGCATGGCTGGGGTCAGGATTACGGTACCCATGCGTGCTACTTTACGGTACCCATGTGTGCTACTCTCTTTGAAGGGCTTTCACAGGATGATGGTACAGTGGTACCCCGCAAGACGAACGCCTCGCAAGACGGAAAACCCGCTAGACGAAAGGTTTTTCCGTTTTGGAGACGCTTCGCAAAACGAATTTCCCTATGGGCTTCCTTCGCAAGACGAAAGCCCATAGGGAAATCTCCGGGACAGGGCGTCTTGCCCACTGTCCTCAGACCTCCTCCCGCCGCCAGGCTTCGGAAGGCTGCTCTGAAGCCTGGCGGGGGGCGGAGAGGTTTTTTAAAAACCCCGGGACAGCGGAGGACTTCTCCGCTGTCCGGGGCGATTTTAAAATGCTGGCGGGCGGCAGCGCTGCCGCCCAGCAGCATTTAAAAAAACCCCGGGACAGCGGGGGACTTCTCCTTTGTCCCGAGGTTTTTTAAAATGCTGGCGGGCGGCAGCGAAGGCTTCGCTGCCGCCCGCCAGCATTTTAAATTCACCCCGGACAGCGGAGAAGTCCCCCGCTGTCCCGAGGTTTTTTAAAATGCTGGCGTCTTCCCCTTTCTCCCCGGACCTCTTTTGAAGCAAGGGGCGGCAACGCGGAGAAGCGATCTTCTCCCCGTTGCCGCCCCTTGCTTCAAAAGAGGGGACAGAGGGAAAGGCGCGCGCCTTCCTCTCTCTCTCCCCGGACCCCTTTTGAAGCAAGGGGCGGCAAAGGGGAGAAGCGATCTTCTCCCCGTTGCCGCCCCTTGCTTCAAAAGAGGGGACAGAGGGAAAGGCGCGCGCCTTCCTCTCTCTCCCCCCGGACCCCTTTTGAAGCAAGGGGCGGCAAAGGGGAGAAGCGATCTTCAGTGGCGTAGCGTGGGGGGTGCAGGGGGGGCCGGCCGCACCGGGCGCAACATCTGGGGTTAGGGCAAATCCATGGGTTAGGGGGCGCAAATCCACAGGTTAGGGGGCGCAAATTACTTGCCTTGCCCCGGGTGCTGACAACCCACGCTACGCCGCTGGCGATCTTCTCCCCGTTGCCGCCCCTTGCTTCAAAAGAGGGGACAGAGGGAAAGGCGCGCGCCTTCCTCTCTCTCCCCCCGGACCCCTTTTGAAGCAAGGGGCGGCAAAGGGGAGAAGCGATCTTCTCCCCGTTGCTGCCCCTTGCTTCAAAAGAGGGGAAGGCTGGCGGGGGGCGAAAATCTTTGTCCCCCCTGGCTGCCTTCCCGGGAGGGCTTTTAAATCGCCCCGGACAGCGGAGAAGTCCTCCGCTGTCCGGGGCGATTTTAAAATGCTGCCGTGGGGGGGGGAGCAAAGACTTTCGCCCCCCCCAGCCTTCAGAAGAGGTCAGGGGACAGATTGTCCCCGGACCTGGTCTGAAGTCGGTTTCCATAGGAACGCATTAATTGATTTTCAATGCATTCCTATGGGAAACCGTGCATCGCAAGACGAAAAACTCGCAAGAAGAAAAAACTTGCGGAACGAATTAATTTCGTCTTGCGAGGCACCACTGTACTCTAATAAAAGTAGTCTTCTGTTTGGGCCGTTCGGTTCAAGTCCAGTTTAAAGAAAAGCAAGCCATAAGAAGGGAGAGCAGCGGCCTTGAAACTACCCATCAGCAGTGAGCCCCTGAACAGCAGTCTGAACAGGTACCCAGGTGAGCTGGCCACAGCCTCGCCCACAATGGTGAGATGGATTGTGGCTAACATGTGCGCCTCCAGATGTTGTTATACTACAACCTCCACCATCCCTGATCATTGGCCCTAGAGACTGGAGCCAATTAGCGCTGGAGTCCAACAATGTCTGGAGGACTGCAGGTTCCCCATCCCTGATTATAGTAAATTATAGTAATGAGTTCTAAATTCGCATCTATAAATGTGTAAATTATATGCACATTTGTGGCCTTTCTGGTGGTGCCCATCCTTTTTGGCTTAAGCAGTGATGCCCATGTGGTGGAGCAGTAGTGACGTCGGGGCATGCATGTGCACCAGTGGGAGTGCCAGATCAGCAGTGTCAGCCCCACCCATTCACCCGCACAGCCCCAAGACTTTTCTAGTTAAGCAAAAGCAATGCCAGTGCCAGTTGTGAACAATTGAGCCAAGTTCATTTTAATTCAATGTGGGTTGTTTTTTTTAAAAAAAAGTAATCTCTCGGTATGCTTTCACCACTGTTTTGAAGGTGCTGCTCCCTTCTTGTTTAGACATTTGGAAATAAGGAGAGTCCTGCTGGATCAGGCCAATGGCCCATCTAACATCAGTACCCAGAATCCACTGCGTACTCAGCTGTTGTACTGTTCCCCGCTCCACCCCCTGACCAAACATTTAGGATCAATAAGGGACACTCACCTGGCCTTAAAGCAATAGCGTATCCACGAATGACCCTGAGACGTAATTGTACCTAGAAGCGTTTGACTAGGAGCATCCTGAAACAGAAGGGTGATGGTTTTTCCTACACAGCATATGGGAAACTGGTAGACAGCAACACTTCCTGATGGGTAACTTTGACATGGGTCAAGTAATATCACACTTTTTTAGAAAGAAAAAGAAAAGAAAGGCATATATCTAGTTATCCATTGTGGGATTGTAGTGTAATAATACAAGTTCACTCAGCTGGATCTTTGATGAGGGCTGTTTCCAGTGTTACAACTAAGACAAACTTGAGCAACAAACTGTAGGAACTGCCTTAAGGCAAGTCCTCAAATTACCAGCTTCTTAATACTAAGGTCATAGCCACTGCTTTTAAAATAATTAAAAAAAAAATAAGGTGTCAGCACTCACCATGAAGTTGTTACAGTAACATTGGGGGGGTGTGATGGTACTACGTGCCTTTGAGTACCCCTTGGGGAAAAAACACTGGGCATATCTCTGAATTATAAGGTCTATGGTTCTGATTTACTCTTGAGTACTGACTACAGCTTCCCCTCTAACCAGCTCCTTGTTTCCTGCAACTGATTCACCCCAGACTCTTGCCCATGGCCTGGTAGTGGGGGGGCACGGGGGGGGAGGAATCACTTTAAAATCCCTGCAAGTGCAAAACTAACACAATTAATTAGCCTCCTCTGATGCACTAGCTTTCCCCATGAAGGGAGATGAGCAAGTGCGTACTCTATATCTGATCTTGGGAGAAGGGCAATGACAGGCCTAGACAGCATCGTGAGAAGTAGAGACGTCACCTTGCCAACAAAGGTCCGTATAGTTAAAGCCATGGATTTCCCAGTAGTGATGTATGGAAGTGAGAGCTGGACCATAAAGAAGGCTGATCGCCGAAGAATTGATGCTTTTGAATTATGGTGCTGGAGAAGACTCTTGAGAGTCCCATGGACTGCAAGAAGATCAAACGCATCCATTCTTAAGGAAATCAGCCCTGAGTGCTCACTGGAAGGACAGATCGTGAAGTTGAGGCTCCAGTACTTTGGCCACCTCATGAGAAGAGAAGACTCCCTGGAGAAGACACTGATGCTGGGAAAGATGGAGGGCACAAGGAGAAGGGGGCGACAGAGGACAAGATGGTTGGATAGTGTTTTCGAGGTTACCAGCATGAGTTTGACCAAACTGCGGGAGGTAGTGGAGGACAGAGGTGCCTGGCGTGCTCTGGTCCATGGGGTCACGAAGAGTCGGACACGACTAAACGAATAAACAACAACAACTCTATATCTGAAATCATTGTCCTCATCATTCTAGGGCTTTTTGCCTTCTTGTATCATTTTCATATGCAGATCCTTGCCAAGCTGCCAGTAGTGAAGTTTTATTCAAGGCTTCTGAGTGTCTGATGGAGCATAAGGTGCCTCTGTCTGTGAAGCAATCTGCCTCAGAGGAGTTATTTCCCCGGCATGTTCATAAGCAGCGCAGCAAGGAAAAGAATCTATTAGCCAAAGTGATCAGCTAGAAAAAAGGGGGTATGTAAAGGTCTCAAAATGAGGCTTTTGTGTTTAACGCACTGTGTTAGAAAACGGAGACTGACAAATGGAGTCAATTGAACTACAGAAGTGATCTGAAAGCCTGCACTGTCAGAGTCTTTCATTCTTAATTCCCAGTTTGGTGGAAAGATCAAATGGAGCATGTGCTTCTGTGAAACAACTCCAAGTGAACTGCAGCCAAGGGGCTGTCAAGGAAGTTTGGGGAGGGAGGGAGAGAAGAGAAAGCAAGAGGGCAAAGGATTTGAAATAGCTTAGCTCTGTGCTCTTGCAATGCAAGCAGAGAGGCTTCAGCAGCACCAGCTAAGCTAGCAGTACTTGAATTACATCACCCCCTTGATTTTTTGTGCCATTGCTCCCTTATCTACTGATCTTAGAAGGCTACAGTGCAGCCATTATTTGGCTGGCATTTGGGGGGGGGGAGATTCTTGGAGTGTGGCTGTAGATCTCATTAAGGCTCTCTCCTCTGACCTCTTTTCCTGCCCCCAAATTTGGGGTACGGTAAAGTGACATCCCACAGAAAGTGAGTCCGTGTCCTCTGCAAGCCCTCACACAACATGGATGACGGGATTTCTGATAGTTTATCATTCTGTGGGCTTGCTCTGTCCTAAATTCTACAGCTCTCAGATGCCAACTTCACTAGGAATCTCAAATTAATTTCAGAACTGGAACGGGCACACTTTGCTGCACCTTTTCTTCCATTCACTCATTTGCATCCTTATATCCACAAGTGCAATGCAATTTCCCCTTCCCTCCCCCTTTGTGCAGCCCCCACTGCCGAATCTACTCTGGGTTCCTCCAAAGTGGTGCCTAGTGCCTATTGGTGCTGGTAGGGTAGAAGGCAAGGAGACCAACAGCAGATGGCGCTAGAGACAATGACAGGCAGAGCCACCCCTCACTCATTGATTGTAACAAGGCAAGCAAACAAGGGCAGACTCAGGTTGGTGGGGCACTGCCTCATTGGACCCAATGGAGCAGCCTCCACTGGCTTCCCCCATCACTCTTTGGAGGAAGCCCCACCCCATTTGTCGTGCGAGGCCAAGCCATGTCCACCTACCCTGCACCTGATGTCACATACAGTGGTGTCATGTGTGGAGCAGGTTAAGATGTAGTGTGCCAAAGCAAGCACTGCTGATCAGCTGGTCAGTGGCCCTTGCAAAGCCCAGTGCATCACGCCCAGTGCAGTTCTTTGCAGCAAGCCCCACAAACTGCTGACCTTTAAATATTGCACTCCAGCACAGGAGGTTTGGTTTACAGAGATAAACCGAACAGTCTAGACCCATTAAAGGTCTGAAAAAACTGCTAATCAAGAAGCCACATTGAATTTTGTAGCTGCACGCAGAAGAAGCCTAATCCCTGTACAGTAGGGATGGAAAAGAACAACAACCAATCCTATTTCCCAAACTCGTTCCCCATACATTCCTAAGGATACAATATCAGGGATGTTCCATCAGGAAAGGAAAAGAATAACTTCTTCCCTTTCATACGCCGGACCTCAGTAGCTATTAGGGACACTGAAGCCCTTTTCAAGGCCTGAGACGGTGATCTGTGGATTGTCATGTAATTTCTCAGGATTAGGGGCCTCGTATGGCCTTTTGTTATGGCTGCATTCCTCTCTTCCGCTCTAAAAGGAACAGAATAATAATAATAATAATAATAATAATAATAATAATAATAATTTATTATTTATACCCCGCCCATGTGGCTGGGCCTCCCCAGCCACTCTGGGCGGCTTCCATAAAAACCAAAAATACAGTAAAATATCACACGTTAAAAACTTCCCTGAACAGGGCTGCCTTAAGATGCCTTCTGAATGTCAGGTAGTTATTTATCGCTTTGACATCTGCTGGGAGGGCGTTCCACAGGGCGGGCGCCACTACCGAGAAGGCCCTCTGCCTGGTTCCCTGTAGCTTTGCTTCTCGCAATGAGGGAACCGCCAGAAGGCCCTCGGCGCTGGACCTCAGCGTCCGGGCAGAATGATGGGGGTGGAGACGCTCCTTCAAGTATACTGGACCGAGGCCGTTTAGGGCTTTAAAGGTCAGCACCAACACTTTGAATTGTGCTTGGAAACGTACTGGGAGCCAATGTAGGTCTTTCAAGACCGGTGTTATATGGTCTCGGCGGCCGCCCCCAGTCACCAGTCTAGCTGCCGCATTCTGGATTAGTTGTAGTTTCCGAGTCACCTTCAAAGGTAGCCCCACGTAGAGTGCATTGCAGTAGTCCAAGCGGGAGATAACCAGAGCATGCACCACTCTGGCAAGACAGTCCGCAGGCAGATAGGGTCTCAGCCTACGTACCAGATGGAGCTGGTAAACAGCTGCCCTGGACACAGATTTGACCTGTGCCTCCATGGACAGCTGTGAGTCCAAAATGACTCCCAGGCTGCGCACCTGGTCCTTCAGGGGCACAGTTACCCCATTCAGGACCAGGGAATCCTCCACACCTGCCCGCCTCCTGTCCCCCCAAAACAGTACTTCTGTCTTGTCAGTATTCAACCTCAGTCTGTTAGCTGCCATCCATCCTCCAACCGCCTCCAGACACTCACACAGGACCTTCACCGCCCTCACTGGTTCTGATTTAAAAGAGAGGTAGAGCTGGGTATCATCCGCATACTGATGAACACCCAGTCCAAACCCCCTGATGATCTCTCCCAGCGGCTACATGTAAATGTTGAAAAGCATGGGGGAGAGGACAGAACCCTGAGGTACCCCACAAGTGAGAGCCCAGGGGTCTGAACACTCATCCCCCACCACCACTTTCTGAACACGGCCCAGGAGGAAGGAGCGGAACCACTGTATGACAGTGCCTCCAGCTCCCAGCCCCTGAAGACGGTCCAGAAGGATGTTATGGTCGATGGTATCAAACGCCGCTGAGAGATCCAGCAGAACTAGGAAACAGCTCTCACCTTTGTCCCTAGCCCGCTGGAGATCATCAACCAGTGCGACCAAGGCAGTTTCAGTCCCAGAAACAACAGCAGTGTCTCTTATTAGACACCTGTGTGTCAGCAGAGTTGGGACTTCAGTAGGTTTTTTTAGTTAGTTAGTTAGTTAGTTACCGGTAGTTAGTTAGTTAGTTTACCACCTTTCATCCAAAGGGGCAAGGGCGGGGGGGGGGGATAAAAATACAAAATGAAATCACAAAATACATAATAAAACAAAAACAAACTGATGTCATTCTCAGGATTATTTTCTTCAATAGCTCTCATGTTCCAGCTGCCAGCAACTTTACAGAGCAAAATAAATGAAAGGGGCTGAAACTTAGAATTAATTCACACATACGTAAGTGCCACTTGGGAGAGGGAGTCTGAAAGGAATGAGCAGGAGGGGGCCCCAACACGGCAGGGCTGGCTGGCTACATTTTCAAGAAAAGGCAACATCCACACAATACATTTAAATCACTGTCATACCACTTTATCACTCATGACGTCCCACAAAGAATCCTGGGAAATGTAGTTTGTTAAGGGCGCTGAAGGTTGTTAGGAGACCCTGTTCCCCTCACAGAGCTACAATTCCCGGAAGGGTTTAACAGCCAAAGACTTTTATGAGTGAACTCTGGGAACTGTAGCTCTGTGAGGGAAACGGGTCTCCTAACAACTCTGGGCACCCTTAACAAACTACACTTCCCAATATCCTTTGAGGGAAGGCATGAGGCCTGTGACCGGTAAAGTGGAATGCAAGTGAACATAAGAAGAACCTGCTAGATCAGGCCACGGGCCCATCTAGTCCAGGATACTGTTCTCATAGTGGCCAACCAGATGGCTGTGGGAAACCCTCAAGTAGGAACCCAGCACAAATGCACTCTCGCCTTCTCTGCTGTCCAGCAACTGGTATTCAGATGCATTACTGCACTTGGTAACTAGTGGTGTGGATGGGGCCTAACTGAGTAATACACATTTCCATCTAAAGATGAGGTAGCCCTAAGACCATTCCAGAGTCAGTAATGGCCGAAATGTTTTGAGCTAGGTTTGAGCTACATTGTTGGCTACCGGTGCAAATCCCCAGTTTTGTATGTATAAAACCCACTGATCAATCCCTGTCCTCTTCAAGTCAGTCTCTCATGGTGCAGGGTAAGGAAAGGCCAGTTCCTGGGACTCTGGAGAGCTACTGCCAACCAGAGAACCAATTACACGCCTAGATGGACTCTATATAAAACATCTGTCTACATATCACCCCACTGCAGATGTGGGGTTGCGCGCTGAGCTTTTGACCTATTAAAAAAACCCGTGAGATTACCCTATAAAGGTGTGTTGTATCCTAAACATTTGAAGATGCTTACATAGTCCGGCAAATTTCTCGGAGCAACTCCCTAGCTTCAGGACACGGGTCAAGTCTCTCATCATAAGCTTTACCTGGAAAACATACATACATATATATATATATATGGAAAGAACTCTCCTAAAGTCTTCCTGTAAATCCGTCAAATATTAAATTTTATTCAATACAACCTGCTGGATACTTTTGACATTTCCACATGGTGTTTTTGTAAGTTGCAAATAGCCTTTTGTACATTATACTTCACATCACTTTATCAAAACTGGAAGTCAAAATTCATTATTAAATTCTTTGCACTCACCAGTAAATCTCTCTCTCTCTCTCTCTCTCTCTCTCTCTCTCTCTCTCTCTCTCACACACACACACACACACACACACACACACACACACAACCTCTCTGTTTGTTTATAGGTAAATAGCTACGTGGGTAGCCCTTCTGTACCAGCTCAACAGCCCAGTTACACTAATGACTGCTACACCATGGTTATGTTGGCATATTATAGTCATGATCCTGTGCTCCTCCATCAGTAAAGTCAAATGCAAAATGCTACCAGTATCTACAAGGGCTAACACAGCAACAGCATTGCAACATGGGCTCCCATAGCATCTGTGGAAACTCTGCCCTACGGAGCATTTAGTATTCTCTCATTTTCTAGAAATTGTATCTACCTGCGCTCTTTTGCGGCTTGGTGTCTTTCATAGACAACTGAAAGCAAAGACAGTTCATTGACATTTGCTGTATAAGCTGGGTGGTGGAAGAAATAGGAATCGCTGGAAGTATTGGTGCCATACCACGTCCTGCGGCAATAAAACACAAACTGATGAGTTAAGAATTCCTTTCAATTTCAGATTGTTTTAAAAATGAAAACACTCTGGAGAGCAGGAAGTAAAATACCTCAGAGGTACCACATCTGTGAAGAAAACCTGAAATGGCAACCGAAATGGGCAGCCTGATGGAGCAGCTGCTTCAGGAGGAAAGCTTACAATGTTTGGGGCTTTTTAGTTCAGAGCAGAGATATGATAGAAATTATGTATGTACAGAAAATGGAAAGAGAAAGGTTCTTCTCTCTCTCCTAACATACGAACTCAGGGGCGTTCAGTAAAGCTGAATGTTGGAAGATTCAACTCACACAAAACAAAGTACATCTTCACACACTGCAAAATAAAACTGTTGAGGGTGCAGAAAGTTATTAGGAGATCCTCATTCTCCTCACAGAGCTACAATTCTCAGAGTGGTTTAACAATCCAGTTAGATGGTGGAATTGTTCTATCATGCATTTCAATTGTGAGTGGATATTTTATAATTGATTTTGTTCTTGTAGGCTGCTTAAGAAGCCATTTTGGCATGTAAGTAGTATATATATATAAATTAATAAATAAGAATAAAATAACGTAAGAATAAAATATGCTGGCCTGGACTCTGCCACCTCATTCGCATCTCGTTCTGGTGCATGAATACACCAAGGCCTCAGCCCAAGTGTTCTTGCTACCATACCCACTCGTTGGCCCATCTTCTTGGCACATGCAAAACTCCTGGGAACAAAAGCATTTCCAGCTGCAAAGGAGACTAGAGAATAAACAGTTAAAGGAGTGGTGCTATCACAGGGTCCAAACACCTGACAACACTGTTTCTTCCCCAACCTCTCCTCCTAGGTTCTTTGGGTGTGAATTCAGCTGCATCTTCACGTGTTTTCGGGATCAGATTTTGGCCACCTTCCAAAAACCTCCTTGCAATCTCCTCAACACTGGGGCCTGGGAAGGAGACATGATGGTTAGAAATTAAAGGTAATATTTGAACAATTGGGGTGTACATTTAGATATAGATATTAAAGCAGCTACCATGCATAAAATAAGAAAAGTGTGTGTTCATAGCGGCAGCGGAATGTAATTTCCCATTAACCAGTGTGATTAACTGCAGATAAAAAATGCTGCTGAGTGAAACCATTGGTCCCACTACCTTGGTGTTGTTTAATTGGAAGCAGTTTCCCAAGGTTTCTGTTATTATTACCAAGCACTTGTTATTATTAGTGGGAGAGGCCAGAGATTGAACCTAGAACCTCAAAGCAAGAATGAAAGCACTAGCCCAAACAAATCTGGCCTCTTTACAGTCCCATGTCAAAAAATTGCATATAATTCATGAGTGCTAACTCAGCCTCTGAGTGCTAGCTCAGCCCAACTCAGATCTTACAGATTTCATCCTGTACACTCAAATATAAGGCAAAAGGTGACAGGGTCTGCCCATGCAACACACATGTTCAATCAGATATTTGCAATGTGCCTACATTCACACAAGGGTACATGAGAAGGCAATAATCCACATCACCAGGAACCCTGGTTTTTGGTGTTTCCAACTGCAGGGACCATAGCATGTGCTGGTAAGCACATGACAGATATGTGCTACCTTCCACAACACTCAGTTTCATCCTGGAGGATGGTGCCTACTTGTCTGATAAGGTTCAGGATTTCCAAAGAGATTACTAAATTCTATGTGTAAATTGAAGCTGGCAGGAACACTTAGTTTAGATGATCTCACCAGCAGCTGCTTCAATCATTAGTTTCATCTTCATCTTCAAGAGTTCAGTGAGGAGATGGACAGACCGTTTTTGGAATTTGAGAAGCATCTGTTGGTCTTCAGATGAAGGGGTCACATAATTCGCTTTTAACCTTGAGGGTGTTGGACCCACCTTCTGAGCTCTTGAAGTAGGAGTGGAGGAAATATCAGCGTCCTCCGTGGAAGCAAACTTGACCACAGGACAATATAAACCAGCAAATGATTTTCTCGGTGGTGTCACCAGGAGCTCATCCCATGTAAACTCAAAGATATTCTTGACCCCTCGTGGCACATGGAAGCCCATTTTCCGCCAAAGGATAAGCATTTGTACCATGTCTGCCAGAACTCTTGGTGCCTTGGCTTTGATTTGTGCATAGTCTACACTTTTCACTGGGGAGGCCCTTGGGCTGGGCTTCTGGTCAGCCTTTTGGTCACCCTTGTGATCAGTCTTTTGGTCTCCTTTGGAGCTACCCTTTGAGTCGCCTCTTTGGTCAGTCTTTGTGTCTGGTTTTGGGTCATTCATATCACCACTTCATCTATTCCATGGGCTAGAGTTGATGTGAGCAGATCTTTAAAAAATGTGATGGAGAAGATTGTGTTATTGTGTAATGAATGCCTTCTACAGCTAGCACTAACACTACTTCACACATATTTATTTCATTTACCGTATATCCCACCTTCCTCCCAGAGAGCTCAGGGAAGCATGCCTAGCGTTCCCAGATGGTATTCTATTCACATCAGCCAGATTTGCTTCCACAAGATTTCTGCATCTTTCAGAGCACACCCTGGGACCCACATGGAGCTTGGTCCTTTTCCAGAGGACCTGCACTCTACAATAGCTAAACAAAAAAATGTGGTGGACAAGAAGAGGTTAGGGTTTGCCAAATGGATATTAGGGACAGGACAGGGAAGAATCAGGGGACAGAAGGGGCATAAACTAGATTTGGATCATCAAGAAATGGTTTGCTAGAGGAGGAAAGTATGTTGATTGACAAAGAGAAGTGCATTCTAGACAGATAAACAAATATAAATGTTTTGATTAGGGATGTCTGTTCTTTGAGATTTTATTCAGCTTGGGTCAAACCAGGACTCTTTACAGGACTCTTACAAAGTGAAAGCCTTTCTGAATCATTTGCTTTTTGATCCTGGGAAGACTATGCAACTATCCCCAGCCCAACCAGGTTATTTGTCAATACTGCAGACTCATTTCTAGAAAATGCCTTCTTCCCCTATGCTTTTAAATCACCATATTCACCACTCTGAGTTCCTTGGAGGATGAGCAGGAAACACACGTATGAGACAGCTAGATAAAATGTGTGTGTGAGGGGGGTGGGAGCTCAAATTTAGCCATCTCTCCTAGAGTCAAGCTGGGATGTGGGTGGCGCTGTGGGTTAAACCACAGAGCTTAGGACTTGCCGATCAGAAGGTCGGCAGTTCGAATCCCCGCGACGGGGTGAGCTCCCATTGCTCGGTCCCTGCTCCTGCCAACCTAGCGGTTCGAAAGCACGTCAAAGTGCAAGTAGATAAATAGGTACCGCTCCGGCAGGAAGGTAAACGGCGTTTCCGTGTGCTGCTCTGGTTCGCCAGAAGCAGCTTAGTCATGCTGGCCACATGACCCGGAAGCTGCACGCTGGCTCCCTCGGCCAATAAAGCAAGATGAGCACCACAACCCCAGAGTCGGTCACGACTCGACCTAATGGTCAGGGGTCCCTTTACCTTTTACCTAGAGTCAAGCTACCCATCTGCAGCAAGGCTTCCACCATATGGAGGTAGGAATGCTGCTTTAGAAGGCCCCAAGCACAAATGCTTCATGCTTAAAGAAAGCCTGCTGTAATAGCTCAGTTGGTAGAGCATGAGACTCTTAATCTCAGGGTCCTGGGTTCAAACCCCATGTTTGGCAATAGATTGCTGCATTGCAGGGGGTTGGACTAAGATGATCCTCGTGGTCCCTTAAGCGTCTATGATTCTGTGCGTGGTGAAAACAATTCACAGGCTTTGGTCGTTTGGTTCCATCTACAGCCCTCATACCAGTCATACTCTTTTTGGTGCAACCGAGAGATTAACCAGTAGATTAAGCACACACAACCTTTTCTGTTTCACTTAGCTCTTTCTTCAGCAGTCAACAGGTATATTAAAGCTCAGCTCCAGGTTACAGTTTGAAGACTGTGACATCAAATGAACCAGCTGTAACGAAGGAGAACAGGATGTGCATCTCTTCTGCTTTCTTAAAATTTAATCTAGAGATATGTATAAACTGTGGGTCCAATTCAGTCAAGCCACACTTAGAACCACTTTGTTCTGGTACTCTTAGAAATACATCTTAAAAGAAACTGACTGCAGTGGCCTAAAGACAGAAGCTGGCACAGTAGGCTTGAAGGACAAAAAATGAACTGAGTTATCATGTATAATTGAAAAGGCTATGAGAATTAAAACATGGAATTCAAGAGACATTAAAACTTCCCAGCATAAGCAGGCAGCCATGCTTGTTTTTATTGCCCCTATGTTCACCAATGAGAAGTCCAAAAATAGTCCCAGGCATTTCAAGTGTGGCAGATAAATTACCCTTGATTTAATTAGAAAATGCATCTGAAGCACTTTCTTAATTACAAAGTAAACTTTCAGCTGGAACTAATAAACTGTCAGTCTAAGTTTTATGGAAGTTGAGGTTTCTACGGCTAGCTAGAGGCTAATACCCTCTACAGAGGAATGGCTAATTAAGTTCAGCCTCCTTCTCACACAAGCCAGCTCAGTAGAGACTTCTTTGCACTCATTTAGGGCTTGCTTTGTGATCTCAAATGGAAAGAAGCAACCAACATATTAGACGGGCTGTCCAGTCCACCCACCTGAACCACGAGAAGACAACATGGTTCCCTCCAGATGTTGTGGACTACAACCATAATAATTTTATTATTTGTACCCCACCCATCCAACTGGGTTGCCCCAGCCACTCTGGGCAGCTTCCAACTGATATAAAAGCACAATAAAACATCAAACATTAAAAACTTCTCTTTACAGGGCTGCCTTCAGGTGTCTTCTAAAAGTTGTGTAGTTATTTATCTACTCTGTTTCTTATATACAACTCATCATCCCTGATCAGCATGAAGAAAGTCTTCTCAGTGGTGGGTCTTCACCATTGGAATGCACTCTCTAGGGAAGTGTTTCCCAACCTTGGGCCTCCAGCTGTTTTTGAACTACAATTCCCATCATCCCTGACCACTGGTCTTGCTAGCTAGGGATGATGGGAGTTGTAGTCCAAAAACAGCTGGAGGCCCAAGGTTGGGAAACACTGCTCTAGGGAGGCCCACCTGGTACCCTCACTTCTACCATTCAGACACCAGGCAAAAACAGGGGAGGCTGGTCCATTAGGAAAATGGGTTGCTGTCCCAACCTCCATCTGCCCTCAGCCAGACCCCACCTGCTTTCCTACTTACGATTCCAGGTGGTGTCGCTGTCGTCATCTTCCTACTTAGCCTCAGTGTCGCTGTTCAGGAGGGAGATGGCATCAGCCAAAACTGGAAATAGCTAGCTATCCTTCTGAGTGGCTCAGGCTCCCTGCTTTCTGCCCCCCCCCCCCGCAAACAGCCCTAATTTACCATCTCTGATTGGACAGTTGCTGTGTCCGCCCAGGGATCATAAATTTATGGTCAAGGTGTGGGATGGAAATGTTGTAAACAAGCTAATAAATGCTATTGTCCTTTAAAAAAACCCAAAATATTGCCCCTCCTCCATACCTGGTAAGCACAATTACTGCATTTTGAAGAGTGTGCCATCTGCACCGGCCCCTATAGTTAGACTGGGAAGAACCACATGGTCAGTTCCACTTCTGACTAGGGATAAGCATGCAGGAAGCCAGCATAATTTTTATGTTATTTTTAAAATGCATTTGTATCCCACCCTTCCTCTAAAGCAGGTCAAAGTGGCGTATATAGTTCTCCTTCTCCCCCATTTTATCCACACAGCAACCCTGTGAGGCAGGCTAGGCTGAGAGACAGCGATTGGCCCAAGGTGAGCTTTGCGGCTGAGTGGGGATTTGAACCCTGGTCTCTCAGGTCTTATTCTGATGGGCCCTAGATGGTTTGGAATGTGTGTGAGATAGATAGATAGATAGATAGATAGATAGATAGATAGATAGATAGATAGATAGATAGATAGATAGATAGATAGATAGATAGATAAACAATGAACTTCAATGCTTTCAGTGAAATGCTTTGGATTACCTACTGTTAGCCGCAGATGTTCCAAGAGTCGCAGCAGCACAGTTGAAAGTTGTTGGTGATGCTGCACATTCCATATGACATGCCCATTCTTGCATCATAATAGGAGAGAGCACTGTTATGTAGATTCTCACAGTGAGGTTCAGGCCACTTACGCAAGGCCACTCTGGGCAAGAATGAGCTGCAGAAGCTCAACTTGTTGTTTCTAGAACACAATGGACACTCACCCTTTCCAGGTGGGTGGTGGTTACGGCCTCTTGCTCTGTTGCCATTCTGTCAGACAGCTCTCACATGGTTGCTGGCCATTTGAGAATTCCCCCGGCTGGCGTGATCTCAGGGCGGGACTTCCTGACTGAACGCCAGCTTCAAACGGACCAATCAGAGGCCCCACCTGATGGGCAGTGCCTTGCTGGCAGGCCAGGCATTGGCTGCTGCCTGCTGCCATGCCCGGTCAGGCAGCAACACTTTAAAAGGCTGACTGCGCTTACCTTCCGCAGTGCTGTTGGCTGAAGTGCTTTTATATTGAAAATGTCAGAAGTGAAAATGAGAAGCATCGTGAGGTGGGGAAGGGCCAGAGCTCAGTGGCAGAGCATGTGATGATGATATGATGAAAATAAAAACCCACATCTTGTGCTTGCCATCTTCATGATGGCTGGGAAGGGCTTCTGCCTAAAACCCTAGAGAGCAGCAAGCCTGTGTAAACATAACTGAGCAGCACCCCACATACAACTATGCTAGAAACTGAACCATTATATATTCTTAGCAATGCTATACGCCACAGGGTGCCAGCTGCTGGAGTCAGAGTATTCTCTCATATTCCAGGGTTTCTAAAGAGATTTGTCTTTAGATTGGTCTAGGTTTTTCTAACACCCCTTCAAACTATTAAAGCTCCTCTTAAGTACTAGAAATCAACAGTTGATTAAAACTTTTGGGTACATAAAACAGTTGTCTGACCCTTGTGCATAGCTTGTCAATATTTTAGTACTGTAGTCCAGTGTTTCCCAACCTTTTTTGGGCAAAGGCACACTTGTTTCATGAAAAAAATCTCGAGGCACACCACCATTACAGCCCCGTGACGTCACGCCGGGAGGGACGCACGAAAGTGTAAGTTTCAATTTTTTCCCCTCCCCCTTGCCTTCCTTCTGTGCCAACCGCCAAAAAGCCAAGAAAAAAGCCAAGACTTTAGGGCAGCAGGTCGACACGGAAGAAGCTCCTACCTAAGGACAGGTGCGACGGCCGTGTCCTCTTCTGCCACACTTGGCAGCCCTGCCTCACGGTCGTGACTCCCACCCTGATTTCTCCCCGCAGGTCGAGCGGCACAGGCAGCCCAATGTGTCCAGCCCAGACACAAGCCCCGCTTCCCCACTCTAGATCCTGAATGCGACCAAGTGCTCTGGACTCCCGAGCAGGGTGGGAAAGAGGACTCGCATCTGGTAGCCTCCGGGCTCCTCGCCTGCTCGAGGGATGGCATTGCAGGCAAGCTGCCGGCCGTCGCCATCGCCGCCCCCTCATGCGAGTGGACCTGCCCGGAGTGGTGGGCCGGGGGAGGCTCGCTCTCTGTGGGGATGTGGCCCGCACGCGCGGCCCCGCTTCCTCCTGCCCAGGGCTGAGCTCCTTACCCGCGATCTCGGTCTCGCGCACGCGGATCCCACTTATTCTGAAGTTCGCGCCACTAGCCGGGGCTCTCACACCGTGCCAGGGCGAGGCGGCGTGGCCCACTGACGTCATCGCGGCTCGCCGCCGCCCTCGACTTCCCTGTTCCCTCCCCTCCCTCGGGTCGCCGTGGTTACCGAGGAATGCAAGCTGCTCGGGCGAGCGTGGGGCATTAAGTGGGAGAAGGAAAATTAAAATTAAAACTCGCCTGAAGGCCGCCTCTCCGGATATCTTTCGAATTTTTTAATTTTTCCCGCGGCACACCAGGCAACGTCTCGCGGCACACTAGTGTGCCGCGGAACACTGGTTGGGAAACACTGCTGTAGTCTGTTGCCATCTAGTGGGCTGTAGCTTTGTTAAGTCTCAGGAATGCTTTGGAGGATAGAAGTTGCCACTGTTCACTGGGCTTACTTCTTGAAGAGAAATGTGATCTTGAGACACATGGAATTGCTGTTCCCTTCCACCAACACACACACATTTGCACCCACCCACCCCGCTTGATGGCTCCATCCAATGAATGCAACACTGTTGTTCCTGTTTACATCACTGAGATAAGTAAATCAGGAAAGGGACTACACGAGTGTTGCCTTATTTTTTAAAGCAATTGCAAAGCTATGAGCCCCCAGATCCTTCATCAACTTTATAGCTCAAACTAAAATAGACACTGCAGAATTGGAAAACGCATCCAGTTTTATTTTGCTGCCAGTTGTCATCCTAATCACTTTGCATCAGTGAAACGGACAGCTTTAAATATTTAAGTAACACAAAACAACTGTTCGGGTTAGGGAGATGGGTGGGAAAAAACCACTGAATCTTTCCATTATATTAAAATAGCAGCTTCTGGTAACACTCACCCACATGAACTGCTTGCTTTGTCAGCACTGTCAGAAATCCAGATGATTAATGGGATAGCAGAACCAGCACCATACTAATCTTAAGAAGCTTCCATTCAATGCACTATTTTGCTCGGTATGTGAACAAATGCCAGCTGCCACAGGGTGGACATGGTTTATAATTTAAAAGACCTTTCATGGAATGCTGTTTACTATACTGTACAAGTTGGCGCTAAATTACTCTAATGCTGGGATGCAAAGGCCTGGACAACTAATTCTGCATGCCAAAAGGAGGTGTGTGCTGTGTTTCTCAAAGAATAGCCTGTCATGTTAAATAATAAACTGTATTTCAAAAACTAAGGGGATTTTCAAAAGCAGTTCACAAAATAGCATGGTGGCCTCTTTCTGGGTATGCATACCATTATTATTTTTTTAAATCATCACTCCCACTGGTCAGATCCAAGGCCTTAGATGTGCCTAAAGGAGGCCCTTGGATCTTAGTCATTGTATTTATGGTGAAGCAAACAGCAGTGGAAATGGCAGCGAATACAGAATACTATAGCAATAATCTTTAAAAGCAGAAACCTTTAATGCTAGTGGTGACAGAAGTAGCACAAGGGCTGCAGTAAGATGCATACATGACAAAAGGCATGCGATACCTATCCTACCAAGATACCTTTTCTCTTGAGCTTTAAAACAAAATGAAAAGTGAGAATCCCAAACACTGTTTTCTGATTAATCTCAAAACATCTAAAGCTCATGTTACTTGTTTATAGTATGACAGCATGTCATCTAAAGTTTGGTAAGCCGGCTGTTGATTTTGCAGTTCACTGTCATGTTCCTGAGTGGGGGGGAACTGATTGCTCTGTGAGCTGCTACTGAAAGGCTCAGTTGATGGGGATGGCAGGTTTCTTGTCAGGGTTTCTGTTTTTTCATATGAGGTTCCAGGCTTGTTCCAATTCTGGCTTCTAAAGTCATGCGTTCTCTTTTGACCCATAAAATAAGCAGAGGGAGGTGCAAATTCCGGATCTCGTTCATTTCTGAGATCTTCCTGCTTCTTTGACCACAGTCCAAAAGTGAATTCTATTAACGGGAAGGAGGGAAAAAAGAGCAAGCTCAAATTTATTTTATTTTTTACATACTATGCTTAACCATCAAACTCTTCCATTAACTCAATCTTGGTCACACTGTCGCATAGCCACAATAAACTAGAGAGGCAGAACTAACGAACAAAACACACATTTTAATGCTATGAATGTGTCAACATTCCTCTTGCATGGTGTGCCCTCTAGTGGTTTTGGTAGGGAATAAATATTTTGAGAACAAAGTCGCCGGTTGAAATAAGTTCTTATTTCAGGTGACAATTTTTCACTAAAAAGTCCTCAAGGGAATCAAGGAGCACAACAGAGAGAAGGTAAGGCTAAAATGTTTTCCATTTTTGCCTAATGAATAGAGAGGTAGCATAGCCTTCTCCCCAAACACCTTAGATTTGAATCCACAGGAAATGTTATGCCTTCTCCCCCCCCCCCCTATGCAGGACTATTACAACATGAAATTCCTTCACCAGCCCACCGAAGCAGAGATTATACTGACACAGTATGAGCAGCTCACCATTCAAAGGTTTTTTTATACCATGCTAAGCTGATGCACATTTCAAGTCTTTACCTTTGCCTCTATCCCACTCTCGGACATAGGGCACGCCAGGCTTTGTATCTTTCCTTTCCTGAATGATCACTTCCACTTTTCTATTTTCCGCGGAAACCCTTGGCACTTCAATGGGCTTGGATTCAGCTGCTGCTGGCATAGCAACTTCTTCTGTTTTAGTGGAGAATAAAGATTATTAAAACAAATGTTACTCTGAGCCAGGAGATAATTCAACAAGCTACTGCCATGCTACAAGTTGACACTCTGAAGCATTACCTAATGGGGGGGTGGGGGTGGAAGCATCTCACTGGGATGTTCCCTCCCCACCCCACAAAGAAAACTGCTGTAGATAAAATCACGACAAAGCAAGAAAGTGAAGAAAAAATAAATTAAACCCCTAGCATTTCAATAGATAGCTCAAATGTTGCTTAGCAATGTATCTTTTAAAGGCTGCATTGGAATAACAAGGGGGGGACTAAGCAAGACTGGAAATATTCCACTATAGTTTCCTAGACTTCAGATAACTTTTGGCCCTGCAGATGTTGCTGAACCACAGCTTCTAACAGCCATAGGAAGCATGGCTAATGGCCAGGGAGTTGTAGTTCAGCAGCATCTGCTGGGTCAAAGGTTCCTTCTACTTTCCCCAATTGTTTTATATCACAGGTGGGGAACTTCCAGTCCATGGGCCCTTCTTGGCCTGCCATGCCCTCTCCCCATAACTACGCCCACCCATCAGCATGGCAGTGTTGAATCCTGAATAGGTTCCACTGCCCTGTTCCCAGCTGCAAGCAGCATCATGCAGCAGGATGTAATATGCTGATGAGCAGAGATTAAAGCCCTTTCCTTTCTCCTTCAAGCAGGGAGTGAAGGGGCATTACTGCTACTGCCCGCCCACTTAAAGTAGAACAAAGCACCACTGGAACCAGGAGAGGAGAGACTGATTCAAACAGCACTTTGAAAAGCTGCAGAGGGGATTTTGATGGGTGGCCAGTTTTGTGTACCTGTCAAATTTTACTCACAAGGCTGATACTGATAAAAATCTGGACCATGGAGTCAAAAAGGTTCTCCACCTGGTTCTATACTGAGCATGCATCATGACCTTCACTTTTGCCAGGCTTCACCAGTCCTACAGAAGCCAATTAACAATGGCAACAGAAAGTGCCTTGAAGTAGATGGAAATAATCCTAATAATTTTAATGAAGACTAACAAAGGCTTCTGAATATCTGACAAATGAGAAAGTTTGGAGACTAGGCACAGATGGCATATATGAGCTCTGAATTGGAAAAAAATAAATAAAGTTTAGCCGTATCAGTACGTCCCACAATCCTCTGATTCCCAACTACTCCCCCCCCCCCAACATGCATTCTCTAAGTGAACATCTTTCTCTACTCTTCTCAAAAGCTGCAACATCATATTGGACTCAAGGTTTTATCTGAGCAAGCCATACTCTGAGAAGTCCCAATGAAATCATGGCTAACTTAAGTCAATTTATTTCAATGGGTCTTCTCGCGAGTGTTGCTTAGTCAGATATAACCCTCAGAAAATGGATTCTGAATACCATCTGGAAAAAAAATGCAATACAATAGAGATGAAATATTGGTCTTATGATCAGCGTTTAACGAGGTCCTCATTAACAGTTCAGCTTTATGAATGCAGATGTGGCTCCTTTGTTCTCTGCATTTAAGGAAAGTAATTTATAGAGAAAGTACCTCCATTTTCCTTTGTGTCACCTTCTTTCAATCGCTTTTTCGCTCGAAGCTTGGACAGCCTGGCTTCCAAAACAGCCTTACGTTTCTCTGCTAAATGTTCACGTTTTGCTCTCTGGTCTGTAGTCTTAGAACAGTCAATGACAATTGATTTATGTAGTCAGTAGCAAGTGATTTACGTTGCTATTTCCAATAATTCACTGCTTACAATCACACACAGACACTACTTAACAGCCATGTAGTTTACTTCAACCCATCTCCCCCCCCCCATATTTTTCAAATCCAAACTCTGATATTGCAAATACTTCTGTAAGTGGCCAAATAATTACTAAGGCATGATAATAAAACCTTGGTATGATCAAATCTTATTTCAGAGACAGTCTTAAAACAAATAGTAGGGCATACAAGTTTTTCATTGCAGCCACACAACTAAAGGTATTGGGTTTAGAAGGAAATGAGTATTTTAAATCGAAGTCACACTAAGAAATCTATTTGGGAAACTTGAGCTTCTGCATAATTTTCTGCACCTAAACCTAAAGAATAAACTGCAACCCATTTTGAAGTTTTAATCTCCCTACATTTGCACACGTGGAGATTCATTACCCACAGATGTCACAATAATAATTCGGACACATATTGGCAGTTCTTGATTCAGCTACGATTACTACACGTCTTTCAAAAGGCTGGCACTGGACATTTTAGGTTACTGCTCGTATGCACCAACCATACAATACCCAAGGAAAAGCTCCACAGTGGAACATATATTTCCCCCCAGCACAATTGTAAACACTTAAACTTCATACCTGTTCTCTTAGCATTTCTAAGGTTTCCATTTGCTTTCTCCTCAAAGCTTGATCACGGGCAAAGGCAAAGTAACCAACACCAAGCTGTCTGGCCTCTGAAAGGAAGATGTTTTTGTACAGTGTTATGAATTCATCGTGCATTAAACTACAGGGATATTGGGACACAGAGAGTTGCCTCTTAGGATGATATTCAACACTAGTCACAGGAACACAGAAGAGTACTGAATCCATCTAGCTCTGTTTTACCTAGAGTGACCTGCAGGGCTGCAGACAGGAGTCTTTCCTATCCCTCCCTGGAGATGCCAGGGAATTAAGCAGGGATCTTTTGAAAAAAGAAAGCATGTGTTCTACCACTGACCTACAGCCCTCCCTAGGCAAAGGAAGACAGTGCTTGCTTAAGTCAGTTTTCAGTGAAGCGGAATAGTAACCTGTTTATTACACCTCTAAATACACACAGATTACTCACATCACAACAATCTTAACCATCTTTTTTCAATGGATTTCCCCTGTCAGGACTGGTCGTTGTCCACTTCAGATCACCACACAAACGCTTCTTGTTCTTTTATAACTTTTTATTGCGTATTAACAAAACAATCTTATAAACGGTTCTTAAATATTATTCCTCAGAGTCACTTCTTTCAGATACCTTCTGAGCTCTGCTTCTCCATGACCAGCCACTCTCAAAATGGCGAAGGCGCCCTTCCCTTCGCTTTCCCGCTCTTTTTTCTAACCTCCTGGCTAGAGCTGGCTTGTATCTCCCCTCCTCCGAATCTGAGCTAGAACTGAACCCTTGCCTTTCCTGGGAACAGCCAGTCCCTCCCTGTTGCTCTCTTCTCTTCAATTCACTGCTCTCCTCCCCCCCTTGGGGAATGCTTTCTCCCTCTGGGAAACTGGAATCTTCTAACTCTTCCCTGACATCCCCCACTTTCAACGGATGAAGGATGGGGACAGAGAATTTCTACTCTTCTGACAGTAATCACTCTGGATCGAGTTTAAACTTTTTATGATTTTATTGTATGACTTTATGTTTTTATATATTGTTGTAAACTGCTGTGATATATTTTATGATACGGCAGTATATAAACATTTTAATCACTAATTAGGTAAAGATGTGCGATGTATTATTATTATATGTGCTATAAGTTCACAGGACTTCCCAGTTTCCCCCACATTTAATTATAGCATCCTCTGAATTCTGCACGCTGATGATCACCATGCTAAAAAAATCAGGATATGGCCTTGATCGAGAAGATATACTGAACTGAATCTATTTATGCAATGGAAGTAGAAGCGCACCTCATTTCTCAAGGCAGATCTGCATGCACAGTAAGAATACACACCATTTTCTCTAATGTCCTCATAATGCATTGGTCCCATAGGTTTCTTTAGGGCTTCTTCTTCTTCCCTTTCCCACTGCTGACGCTGAAGCTCCTTTCTCATATCTTCAGACAACAAAGTCTTCTCTTCTGTCATTTGCCTAAGGGGGGAGGGGAAGCATCCCTTAAGAGTTTGTGAGTGAGAAATGGTTGTAAACCTACCAATCCCAAAACCAATTAAGTACTGTACTTTTTGCTCTATAAGACTCACTTTTTCCCTCCTAAAAAGTAAGGGGGAATGTGTGTGCGTCTTATGGAGCGAATGCAGGCTGTGCAGCTATTCCAGAAGGTAGAACAGCAAGAGGGATTGCTGCTTTCGTTGCGCAGTGATCCCTCTTGCTGTTCTGGCTTCTGGGATTCAGAATTTTTTTTTTCTTGTTATCCTCCTCCAAAAACTAGGTGCACCTTATAGTCTGGTGCGTCTTATAGAGCGAAAAATACGGTATATCCTATTTAAAAGCACAATGCCATATAACAGCAGCTCTCTAAGAGCCTTAGAGCACCTCTGGGTAGATATTCTGCTGAACTGCCAAGACACTTGCAGTGCAGCCACCAAAAAGCATTTCTCTACATGTCCTTTGAGTTGTACATTCTACAATATAAAGGGATTGTAATTACTCGATGCTGTAAATTGTTACATAGCTTTCAGAAACTATTTCGAGGGAGCAATGTGCTGATGACACGGTACTGTAAAGTCCTGCCTTAAAAAGCATTTCATTCGTTATCTAAAAAATTAAAAAAATGTTAAGAGAAAAAACTGGAAAATTCCTAAAAATATGTGAAATAGCTCCTCCCACTGCCAAGGGTTCACATTTCTCTGCAGAAGGCATTCTCTTCATAGGAAGCAAAGATGGAATAAAAAGAAGATAAAGCAATTGGCAAGCTACCCTCATCAGATCAACAGAGTTACATTTCAAGATCTTTTTATTTTTCCTACTTAGCTATGGAAAAAAATGAATGAACCAATTACTTTATAACTCATGCGATTAGTTTCCCTAAAATGTCCATTTTGCCCGGTTATCATAAGACTTAATAGTGGAAAAACAAATCAAGTTTTACTTAATAGAACATTATGTCCTTGACTTGATCAAAAAGCTTTGAAATGAATTTATCCAAGAACAGAAAATGTCAGACTCCTCTAGGTTTCATTAGGACACATTAAAATTCAATTTTATTGCCCACAGACTGTCTCACCAGAGTGGTGCATGCTATGGTTATCTCCCGCTTGGACTACTGCAATGCGCTCTACGTGGGGCTACCTTTGAAGGTGACCCAGAAACTACAACTACTCCAGAATGTGGCAGCTAGACTGGTGACTGGGAGTGGCTGCAGAAACCATATGACACCGGTCCTGAAAGACCTACATTGGCTCCCAGTATATTTCCAGCGAAAAAATTAGTCACCCCTGATTTCCCCAAGCTGATCCTCGACAAGAAGCATTATAATACTGCTAACTTGGCTGCAAACACAGATTTGACCAGAATGCACAGACAAATTTGTCAACTTGCTCATCTCCTAGAAGCTTTTTCATGCATTTACGTAGAATTTGTTCTCTACAAAAAAAAGCAAGTGTCCTCTTAGCTCAAACGAAACAAGATTCGTCAGGAACCTGTGCAGGGCTTAAGACAACAGCTGGATGTACTCTTCTGTGAACACGGAACATTTTCCATCAGAGTCCAACTGGCCAAGTACCCATACCCCACCATTCCATATGTGAAAGAAAACAACAGCTATTTAATTTAGTACAAGCATCACATCACCTCTTCCCCTGAAGCTCTTTATCCATTTGAAGCAGATGTGGCAAATCTTTCTTCATACAGCGTCTAGAACGGCCCAAGGAATCCACATAATCTACCCTAGAATTAAATGGAAAATCAGCTTTATACAGAAGTAACAGTCTGATTTATAACTTAGAAAATAAGGAAACAAATACATACATGTAATATGCATGCTTTGCATAGAACAATCCTTTAGTTACCTCACCATAAATGTTAGCAGTCACAAGTTTAACAGAGCACCATTTCTTCCCCCCCCCAACATTTATGAGAGTCACCATTTCTAAAAGTCACTGTAATTCAGCTGCTAGCTTTTGTGATAAGGTAGTTAAAGAACCATTAAAAATGTACAATAGCATGCATCTAAACTGGCACACTGTGCCTGCTCCCTGTGGCGAAAATAATGATGCAGCATTGACTTCCCACACAAGTATTAAATTTGAAACAATATTTTTCAAGACTCATTTAATGATCGCTTCTGCATTTGTTCCACTATTTTAATGAAAGCTGAACACAAATGCAAAGCAGAAGGTCTGTCAATGTTCTTTTTATGTAAAATGGTTTCTCAGTTACTTCTCTTATCGAAAACTGTTCAAGATCCAGACAAGTACAGTAGCAGTAAATGCTGTCCATTAAGAGTGGCAGTAATATTTGGTGTTTAATGCTCCAAATTATTTAGAGTGCACAGACACATGGCTGTCCAAAGTGCTGATGGGCCCAGCATGCAGTGCTAATTATTAGCTATCAATGAGTTATGCTTTCATTATGTTGCTTTTTCCAAGAATGCCAAGGACCCAGGAGTAGCTCTCTCTATCTCTACCCACCCCCCAGGAGCAACTACTGGTAGGTATCCAATTTCTGTTTATCAGAGTTTTTTCCAACTCTGGGGGCCGATTTGGGGGCGGGCGGGGAGAGAAACCTTGCAGCATCTCAACACTTTTCTTACACATTCACTGACTGTCCAGAAAACAATTTGAGTTGTTTGCAGTACTAAGATGACTGTTTGCAAGATGCATGCTTTTACAACTAAAGTAAATTTAAATATCTAGAAATTTAACTTCTGTAACACAAGCTTAAATAAAGCAGCTCCAGGCAAGCCAGGAAAATAGCAGTTGTGATCTTATGGGCCAACAAGTTCACAGAAGTCTTAGGAGAGACTCACAAATATCAATGCTTTTAAAAAGTATGCACTTTTGTTTTATGAAAATATTGCTACGAAAAAGGGAAAGGTGGCTGTTTATCTAAGAGATGTGTATACGTCTGATAGGAGAGCAGTGAACAGAATTTCAGCTGGTTGATTTAATGACTTCTGCATATGAATCAAACTTAAAAATGCTGTTCAAAAAAATATTATGACTGAACTCTATTCTAAATGGAGGAGGGGGTGAAATTCATGCAGCATCTAACCAAGGAAAACGTACAACTGAATCACCCTTAATATGAAAAAGCATAGTCTACTGGAAATTCTTTTGCAAGGAAAACTCATGGAATACTGTTTCCTTATAGGTAAGAAAGTTAACTATAGATTTGTAGTATCCTACAGATGCTCTCTGTGTGGGAGGTGGTATGGGAATGAAGGTAGTAATTGCAGAGAAATAATAGAAAACAAGATTGAACCACCACAATGCTACCACAAACCATTCTTCAGTGGGGTCCTGAGGAGGTGGAATTTCTGCTTCAGAAAGTCTCTCTTCCTCCCTGTTTGCCTTCTCTGCTGCCTTTCTAGCAGCTTCATTTGCACATAGCTCCTGTACTTCTCTCCGTTTGTCTATAATCTTCTGGGTGAAATCCACAAGGTACAAATCCTCAGTTTCTTCATCTAAAACAGAAAAATCAATCTGTAAATGACAGATATCAAAAGGACCCAGCCGAGAGAGGAGTCAATATAAAATTGCAGCAATCAGCTCTACCGCTGCCAACAATGCCCTTGACTACGCTACAGGACAATGTGCAGAAAACAGAGTCTGACAAGCAATCCTAGGGAGATAGTTGCCAATTTTGCTGTACATAAAGAAGAAGGCTTTCACTCACCTGGAAAGTCTCCTTTTGTCATCTTCTCATAGAGCTGTGCTTTCTCTTCTAGTTTCTGCCTACAAAACACAGGAACACATCCCTTTCAGTTAACCATGAGAAAGCAAGAAGTCTTTTGCCATTACGGATATGGGAGAAGGATTTCATTTCTTACATCATTGCCTGCAGTCAAGGCTGCTTCCTCTTAAGGCAGCCTATGCGACCTAAACCACAACAACAGGGGCATTTTTGATTCCCAAGGGTGGAATGGTGGGAATACTGGGTCACTACTGCTGTAGCTGTGGACAGAACAGCAACATCCTCCACACAATCATGGGCATGCATATATACAAGGACCTCTCAGGAGGAATCACATGGAGGCAATTTTACTTTTTTAAAAAGAGGCTATAGTGCTTTCCTAGAGGCCCAGAAGGCAATAATCAAAGCCATGGGCACTATCAAAACGTAGCAATGCTAGGGAGAAACTTTGTTCGGTTTAATAAAGCAACTTATTTTGGTAGAAACAACAGGAGCCCTAGCTGCAAGCACAATTCTCTCTTCTCTGTGCACATTGCTTCCTTCCTTGTTCCTTCCTTTTCTGTAATGCCACAGTTTTTAATGAATTTGCCTGTGCGTTCCAAGCCATTTGTTGCTTAGCGCCCTCGGGAACAAGGAGATTGGGAAAAGAGGGATACTGCTAGTTCCAGTTGGAAAGACACCAAACCTCCAAGAATGTGATGCTGTACATAATTGTCGAAATGCAAAGCGTGTTACACTGCCCTCACACGGAGAATGAAGGACATTACTTATTCTTATTATTTGCGGATAGACTTCAATCTTGAGCACTTCCTAGGGACGAACGACCCACTGAAGTGAACTAAGCCTTCTGAGCAAAAATGCTTATGAGCATCCTACAAAGTTGGGGACGTATTTCAAGGGAGCATATGCCTGAATCTGAACTCTCTCATGTGCAAACTGTCTGATAAATCACACCCTTAGAAATGGACTTCAGATGTATTTTAACAGGCAACCTGTGGCATCAGATGCACAAATGATTACACACTGGGTGTCAGAGAAGTCATTGTCTATATAGCACAGGCATTCAAGCCTAGGGTTGCAAAAGTTCAGAACAACTAATTTCGGAAGCAGAAACTGAGCATCAGTTCTGAAGCACACAGTCCTATTTTACATTTGTTCAGTGTATAATATGTAACCAGACTAATAACATTTTATGTCTTCCCTTCTCAGAAGTATTACCTTGATATGTCCAATGTTTGTTGCTCTTCTATCTTTTGTTCAGCATCTTTCTCAGAACGATCTGAAACACCTTTATTCTGTTTAGTCCAAATGTTCGGCTTCTGTAACATTAAATTTTCAAAACAAAACAAATACTATACCAGAGTTCAGTTATCATAGAATCATAGAATCATAGAGTCGGAAGAGACCACAAGGGCCATCGAGTCCAACCCCCTGCCAAGCAGGAAACACCATCAGAGCACTCCTGACATATGGTTGTCAAGCCTCTGCTTAAAGACCTCCAAAGAAGGAGACTCCACCACACTCCTTGGCAGCAAATTCCACTGTCGAACAGCTCTTACTGTCAGGAAGTTCTTCCTAATGTTTAGGTGGAATCTTCTTTCTTGTAGTTATGACAAATAGTCGTAGAATCCAACACCTCCATTGTCAGAGGCAGCTTGCTTTTGAACACGAGTCGCTGAAAACTGCAAGAGGGGAGTGTGATGTTCCACTCAGATTCTACTTGTGTGCTTCCCAAAGGCATCTGGTTGGCTACTGTGAGAACAGGATGCTGGACTAGATGGACTTTTGACCTGATCCAGCAGGCTTTTATTTTTTTTGTTTTTAAAAAAGACAGATCTTCCATCAACTAGGCTCCAGTACTGGCCAGTTCTTTTTTTTTTTTTTTTTTCCTTTTTTATTATACTTTATTACAAACACATACACTTACACATACAAAGAAAAAATTGTATCAAGCAAAAAAAAGAGAACTTTCCAATCATACCCTTACACACATTTAACTTCCATTTACCTCAGCTTTGGATTCAGTATTCTACATAAATCTCCTGCAGTTATTTTCATTTATCTTTACATGTCATAGGAGTTAAACATCGTCTACTGTTAGGTTATTAATTCTTAAATTATTCTCAAGGTAACTTAAAAATTTGGACCAATCCTCTATCTTTTTGATGGGATTATCCCGCCTAATATATTGTGTGAGTCTCGCCAATTCCAAGTATTGATACAGTTTCACCTGCCACTCTCTCATTGTTGGTATTTCGGAGGATTTCCAATTCTTTGCTATTAAAATCCTCGCGGCAGCGGTGGCATACTGGAGGAAGGTCTGATCCGTCTTTTTTATTTCCTCCCCTATCATCCCTAGGAGGAAGGTTTCCGGCTTTTTGGGGAAGTTATACTTCAAAATTTTCTTTAGCTCTTCATAAATTTGTCCCCAGAAACCCTTCACCTCCTCACAGGTCCACCAAATATGGAGGAAAGTTCCCACCTTATCCTTGCACCTCCAACAAGTATTATCTGCTGTTCTATACATTCTCCCTAGTCTGGCCGGAGTCAAATACCAACGGTACATCATCTTATATAGATTCTCCCGTAAATCAGCACACGCAGTAAATCTCATACCTTTCTTCCACAGAGTTTGCCATTTATCATAACCTAGCTCGTATCCTAGATCTTTATTCCATTTAATCATTACCTCCTTTATCGTCTCTTCCTTATTTTCACTTTCCAGCAGTTGTCTATACATTTTTGACAGTAGTTTAACGTTACTCTCCATGATCTCCACTTGGAATCTAGATTTATTTTCTGCCATACCCATTCTCTTATGTTCTCTCCATAATGCGTTAATTTGGTGCAGGTGAAACCAGTCCTTAATTTTCTCTTTCAATTCATCCTGCTGTCTTAGTTTCCACCCTTCTTCTGATTTAATTAAAAGATCTTCGTACGTCCACCTACTACCTGTCATGTTTAATTTCTTTATTTTAATGATATCCACGGGTGAGAGCCACCAAGGGGTACTTTGTTCAATCACATTTTTCTTCCTTTTCCAAACTTCTAAAAGTGACCCTCTGACTAAATGATTAGAAAAGCCTCTATGGACTTTATCTTTCTCCTGCCAGAGGTAGGCATGCCACCCAAATCTCAAATCAAATCCTTCCAAATCTAATAAATCAGTATCGTTTAGAGTGGCCCACTCTTTTACCCAAAGTAGGCATGCCGCCTCATAGTAGAGCCTTAAGTTTGGTACCCCGAAGCCCCCTCTTTCCCTGGAATCCGTCAAATATTTAAATTTCACCCTAGGTTTCTTCTCCTGCCAGATATATTTAGTCAAAGTCCTTTGCCAGTTTTTAAAGCAGGCGGTACCTTTTATAACTGGTAAGTTCTGAAACAAAAATAATAGCTTCGGGAGAATGCACATCTTAATCGAAGCCATCCTCCCGGTCCAGGATAGATTCAGTCTACGCCAGGTATCCATGTCTTTCTTAATTTCTTTCCACAATTTAGTGTAATTATCCTCCACCAAATTAATGTTCTTTGGAGATAACCAAATTCCCAAATATTTCACTTTGTTTACTACTTTAATATCCACTTGTTGTTCCAACTGTAATCTCTCCTGTGCTGTTAAGTTCTTTATTAAAATCTTAGTTTTTCCCCTATTTAGCTTGAATCCGGATAATTTACCGAACTCTTCCAAAAGTTCTACCGCTCTACTAATACTTTCAATTGGGTTCTCTAAAAAGAGGACCACGTCATCAGCATAGGCCTTTAGTTTGTATTCCTTCTCTCCAATTCTTACTCCCCTGATGCTCGGGGTCGCTCTTATTTTATTTGCGGCTGTTTCTAGCACCAAAATAAACAATAAAGGTGACAGGGGGCAGCCCTGCCTTGTGCCTTTCATGATTGGAAAATATTTAGTCAAATTGTTATTAATAATCAACCTAGCCCGCTGCTCAGTATAGATCGCCCTAATGCCCTTCAAATAGGGGCCCCCTATTCCCACTTTGTCAAGATTTTGTAACAGAAATTCCCAGGAAACACGATCAAAAGCTTTTTCTGCATCGATAAAGATAAGGGCCGCTGGCACATCTGGTCTTGCCTCTAGGTACTCCATAATATCTACTGGCCAGTTCTTAATACATCAGAGCCCCTAGCCTATATCCAGCGCACCAAAGCTTTCCATCCCTACAAAACTCTTCCTAAATGTAATAAATGGTTTGCAAGTAAGTTGCCTAACAGTAGCATGGGGTTCTACAGACCCTCCTTCTTAAAACAAAAAGGTCTATTCTGTAGTATAGAAAAGTACAGAATTATTGAATGTCAGTTTACACAATTCTTCAAATTGCATCTTTTTAGCTCATTAGCCTTGAGCATGTTACATTTCTGGAAACTACTGTTCAGAATTTCAGGCAGCTGTTCAAGGAGAAGATCACTCTTGAATTAGAGTCCCACTGAATTCAACAAGATTATTAAGTTGTAGGCTGCAATCCTATGTACAATTCCCATTGAATTCAGCAAACTTATTTCTGAGCAGATAGTTATAGGATTGAATTGTAAACAAACTCTACCTTGTTTGTTGCTTTAGGTTTTACAGGGACTCCAGCATCTTTCAGAAGTTTTTCTTTTTTGAATTCTTCCTGTTTTCTGAAAAGTTCAGCTTTCAAGTCTATGAGCTGCATCAAGCACAGTGAAAAAGAAAGACAATTTTGCCTTTAGCAAGACAATAAAGAACTTTAAATGAGTCTCGGTGGAAAAGAACATAAATTTGCAACTACTGTATAGTCCAGCAACTGAAATACTTACAGCCTTGAGAAATTAAAATACTGGTAAGGTGACCAGCGCAAATGCATATAAAGTGAGGGTTGACAAAACTTTACCCCATACGATGTTTGGTTAGAATATACGCAATATAATATAGGAGTAATAAGCAGTTCTAGATTCAGATGTTCTTTAATCTGTAGCCTTACAAAAAGACAAGGACTGGTATTTGATTACCTCAGATAAAACTTGATTATTTTGAAAACTCAATTGATATGCCACACTTGCATTGACTGGGATCATTCTTGGCAGCAAAGGAAAAATGGGTCACCTGATGTTATTTCCCTCCTATCACAGTGCTTCTTGGGAGGGGGGTGAGGATGTAAGAACACAACTTACCAAGCTGAAAAGGTTTCCAACCTCCAATTTAAAACACTAAATTGCAACACAGTTTATTTTATGGAACATTATAGCGTACACTGTCATTTTTAATCAATCATTTTTAAAAAAGATTTGCAGAGGGGATTGATGAGATTGTCAGTCGCAGCTCACTCTCCCAATCAATAAACTTGATCAAGCAGAATATTTATATTCATAAGAGAATATCCAACATCATCTTATCAGACATTGAACATTCCTACCCAAGTGTTTCTTTTATGCAAAACCCCCTAAAAATGTGAATAAAAATTTACCCGAGCATTCTGCAACACAGCAGTGGGATAGCTCAGGTGTCTGACCGACTGCTCAGAATTTTCATGTATAATAATAATAATTTTTATACCCCGCCCATCTGACTCGGTTTCCCCAGACACTCTGGGTGGCTTCCAGCAAAATATTAAAATACAATAATTCATCAAATATTAAAGTTTCCCTAAACAGGGCTGCTTTCAAATGTCTTCTGAAAGTCAGATACAGTGGTGCCTCGCAAGACGAAATTAATCCGTTCCGCGAGTCTCTTCGTCTTGCGGTTTTTTCATCTTGCGAAGCACGGCTATTAGCGGCTTAGCGGCTTTAAGAAAAAGTAAACAAACTCGCAAGAACTTGCAAGACGTTTCGTCTTGCGAAGCAAGCCCATAGGGAAATTCGTCTTGCGGAACGACTCAAAAAACGGAAAACCCTTTCGTCTAGTGAGTTTTTCGTCTTGCAAGGCATTCGTCTTGCGGGGCACCACTGTAGTTGTTTATTTCTTTGACATCTGATGGGAGGGCATTCCATAGGGTGGGTGCAACTACCCAAAAGGCCATCTGCCTGGTTCCCTCTAACTTCGCTTCTCGCAGTGAGGGAACTGCCAGAAGGCCCTTGGCACTGGACCTCAGCGTCCAGGCAGAATAATGTGGGTGGAGACGCTCCTTCAGGTATACTGGGCCGAAGCCGTTTAGGGCTTTAAAGGTCAGCACCAACACTTTGAATTGTGCCCAGAAATGTACTGGGAGCCAATGGTGGGATCACTTCTAAAAACACTGGTCTGTACTTCACTTAAGAGTAGTACATTCTGGTTGGATTGAATGAACAGGTCCGATAGCTGTCTACATCAACAGCATAAAAATCTTATTGTACTCTGGGTAGCTAAAACATTTTTCAATGAAGGTATGAGCTAAAAATGATCCTAAAACCGAATTGGGTTTCTGCTCCCCTTAGCAACGCTTTCTGAAATATTTGAATTATCAGGACACAGAAAGAGCTGGAAAATTACATTCTCATCAGGACCTCTTTGCATTTAAAGAGCCCAGGAACTGTCAAGATGGTCTTGACAATCTGAAAGGTTCACCATCAAGGGAGGCCCTTGGGATTAGCAGAGGCGTGGAGGTGTATGAGAAAAGGGGCTTAATTTATACCTGGTGCTCAACCCTAATGTCGAAAGGTAGATATTCTTACTACACCCCCCCCCTTCAACCCTAAGGTCCCGAAGCAGGTTACAGCATTAAAACCACAATATTAACAACAATTTAAAGCAACTTACAACCATAAAAATTAAAAAAAGACAAGTAAATTTGAGCGTAAGGGCGCATGTAAAGTGGCATAAAGAAACCATTTGTTTTCCACAGCTTAGCCTGGGCGGCTCACAATCTGTGCAAGGGCGGCAACGTCTTCTGTCATGCCAAAGGTAGTAATGCTGGGTTTTCCAGGTACCCCCGAGCATGTGCAGAGCGCCCCCTTCCAGCAGAGGCTGGACCTTCCAGCTCAGCCCCCTTTGCAAGGGAAGAAGGGCAAAGGCGGCAGTGTGTGTGTGTGTGCCCGGGACCCTAAGGGCTCCCTCCCCATTTCGCCACTCACCGAGGAAACCGTAACATCCAGCGGCTTCTTCTTCCTGTCCATATTGCCGCCGCCGCCGGCCGCCCCAGCGACAGCCGAGAACAAGCGACGCGGAGACAGTAAACAAAACGAAACCCCGTCTCCGGATACTTCCGGCTTCAGGCGCGACGTAAAGCGCGAACCCGGCTTCCGGTATGGAGACGGCTGCTTTAGTACCGCCGCTTACGACAGTGTCGTAATGGGGCAGAAAGGCTTTGCGGCGCGAGGTGTCGAACGTTGCGGGAGGTGCGCTGAGGGAGCAGCGCAGAGCAGAGAGGTTGGGTGGCCAGGGAAGGAAAAATAAGGCTTGTTAACATAAGAAGTAGCTCTGCCGGGTTCATTCAAAGGAATGTCCAGCTGACTATAATCAGTTGCCTCTGCAGAGTCCAAAAGCCTGGCATGGAGGCAACAGCCCTATTGTACCTCTTGTTGCTTCCAGCAGGTGGTACTTGCAGGTTACACCGCCGTTGAACCTGGTAGTAGCGTATAGCGCAGAAGGCAGATGGGGGCGCTCTTGGACAGATTGCGGAGTTATCTACAGTAGAGGCTTTCTTCTGGCTCCTAATTATTTAACAATAACTGCAAGGGAGAGCGCACGGTAATTAATCCATAGGAAACTCACCTTGTTCGTAGCATAGACAGAAGCAATAAACAGGACCTGATGTTCAGAGGACGAGGATAATTGCTTGCAGAGCCAAAAGGGCACGCCTCGCGTACAAGGGAGAGATAATCAGCAGGCTTGGGGAAGCATCGTATGAAAAAAAATCTTTAAAGGGGAAAAGATCTTAAGCGGAAGGGGACATAGTTCCCTAAAAAAAAAAGTCCAAAGGAGCGAGTGGGCTAAGTAGTCATAGTATACATACTTACTATTAGAGGAGAAAGGCAAGGAATAGCCCTGTTCAGATAATCTTAAATTTGTGTGTGTGCAGGGGGTGCATGGATATATGTGCTGGCGCACACCCCTGCCCTTTTAGTACTGAGAGGAAATTTCTGAAGGCAGACTCTTAAGTGTGTTTGGCTGAAATGACAGTCTTCCTCATGCTCCAAATTCCTGATCATGAGAGGATAGTAATCATGTGGGGAGGTTATGGTGAGGGAGTCATGCTCCCCTGCACATCAGCTCCATGTTGCAGAATTTAAGAACGCCTAAATAGGGCTAAATAGAGAAAGTCAGACTTCCCTTCTCTACAAAGATCCTCATGATTCCCTATTATAAGAAAAGTAGAATGTCTTTGGTAAATCTTCCAGCTTCTAATTTCCCCATAATTAGGGTTACTCTGAGTCTACATTCATTTGTTAGTAGGGTTTGATCAAATGAGCCCTTGATGGACTTATTGATAAATTGAGCTAGGGTGACGTAGTGGCTAAGAGCCTGAACCAAGAGCCAGGGAGTACCTTGTCCATATCTTATGCCTACCTTGAAAGTATTGCGTAGCTGTAACCTCTCATTCCACCCACCCCAAAGCTGGCTGCAGCACGGTGCTTCTAACTCTAAACTGCCCAATGTGGAGGAAAAGCAATGTTACAGAGACGCCAATTTGAATGGAAGTTCCGACTATCCTATGAGGTTAGAATTAATTGGCGTAATAGACTGTTACTTAAGCTCTGATTTGGCTGGGAACCCACAGTGGCTCAGGCTCACGCTTCCCTTCTCTCAGATGTGTATGAGTCATTTTAATAAAGGAGAAATGTGCCTTGGTTTGACATGTTTGAAATGTGGTGTGTAACCAGTCAGTCAGTTTCACACTGTGATATTGCATAATTTATGGGCTCAAGCCACGAGCGTAACCTTTCGCTGGCATTCCCTTCCTCAATTAAGAGAAAGAGAGCAACAGGCAGTAATGAATACCTGTTCAGTTGATGAGCAAGCGGGGGCTATGGAAATCAGACTCAGCCCCTCACCCCACCCCTGTTCCTTGATCTGCTATTGGCGTGTGATTCACTGCTCTGAAGAGTGGCCGAGACAGATAGTTTCAAAGGCTTTCTGTTCATATCAGTCCAGTACTGTCTAAGGAATGACAAGCTTTTAACGTACGGTTCCATCAAGGAGGGCTGTGCCTAACACAAGTACTGCAGGTTTGCTTCGCTTTGTAAAAGCGCCATACAATTGATCAAAGTATCTTAATGATCAGAGGTATAGAAAGCCTCCCTGGAACATGCCTAGCCTACTAAAATTGGAAAGGTGCACACTGCTCTAGCATAGAGTGTTGGATTTCCCTTGCCTGTTCTAGCACAGGGGTGGAAAACCTATGTTGCTGGACTACAGTTCCCATCATGCCTGACCATTGGCCATGCTGGTTGGGGATGATGGGAGTTGGAGTCCAACAACAATAAATGCAGGGCCACAGGCTGTGGAACTCCTGTTCATTATCCTAGCTTACATTATAAAGTGGATATTATAATACACCTGACCAGGCTCTTTACTTAACAAAGAAACTGGATCGAACTTTTTAGTGGTCTGTTTTTCTGTAAAATCCAACTTTAGCAATATAAAAGCAAAGGATTGGAGAGGTTTCTAAAAACTCATTAAGTTCAATCTCATTGCACATTCATTCACACAGAAAGTTGGCCTCAGTGAATGGATTTTACTGACAGGGTTTATTGTGCAAAAATTTTCTGCCACCTTATGTTTGCTAGATAACCTTGAAGGTTTCTGCCTTTTGCTACTGGGTATGGCTTGATTGAAAGCAACCCCCCCCCAAAAAAACACACCAATTCAGGGCACTATAGTTTGTTAAGGGTTGCTGTGAATTGTAACTCCAGAATCTGAGGGGATCTATACGACCCAGAATTCTTGGAGGGAAGGAACATGCTAACCATGTGCTCTAAGGGTTCAATGTGTATGCAAGCCTTTCTTGAAACACCTGGGAGCATTTGCTCGGTAGTAACCTTTTATATAGTGCACATGAATTTCAGATGATGCTCTGCTGCAGTCTGTAGATTTGATTGACCTTAAAGCAGTAATATTGATTGATCTGATGAGTGGATGGCCCTGCTTATGAGGAATCAGTTGACTAAATGACCTTAGCCCCCCAAGATTGTACCTGCCCATTAGGGTAATGAACCTAAAATAAGAAGCACTCTTGCTTGATCAGAACATAAGGCCACATTCTCCAGCATATTTTATGCCTGGCAGCAGACAAGCAGGTATCAGTCGGACTGCAGAAGCAAGGCAGCAAGGTATGTTCTCAGGAATCAGAGGCACACTGTTCTGAGCAAATATCTATGACACGGTCTAATCAGATGGATAATCTTTTTCCTTCTGAAGGCCATCCCCATGCGGGTAATCTAGGAGCCTCATGCTGACAGTGGATAGAGCCACAGCCAGTGGTGGGCAGCGCCAAAGTGGGTAGGGGTGCCCTTTCTCTTTTTGCCACTCCTTTCTCTCCACACACCCCTTGTCCCCTACTGAGCAGGCTGCTTGGGAAGGGATATCTTGCCAGAGATCTGATCATTTGCAGAGAACCCTTCTCTGCCTCTTTCCATCACTCCATCCATTTTGTCCGTTTCTCCCCTTCCTCCTCTCCCTCTGGGCTCCCCTGTCACATGCATTTAATTAGGCTGAGCCCTCTGGCCTCAGGCTTCTCACCCTTGATGCAAATCACAATCTGATGAACCAGTATAATTAAAAAGAAAGGAAAACAATGTTATTGACTTTTCAGATTGCAGATAGCTGTCATTAAGTGTATGTAATATACTTTATTAGAGATCTGTGAATGCTAAGTAAGCCATTGTGTTTCCAGTGGCGTAGCGTGGGTTGTCAGCACCCGGGGCAAGGCAAGTAATTTGCGCCCCCTAACCCTAACCCCCAGATGTTGCGCCCAGTACAGCCGCCCCCCCTGCACCCCCCACGCTACGCCACTGCTAAGGGGACAAGGAACACGCGTGGGGTGGGTGGAGAAGGATGTGGCTAATAATGCAGGAGGGGGGTCTAAGGGGAAAAGGAGCTCGCATGGGGTGGGTGGAGAAGGAGCTTTTCGGAGAGCTGAGCGGGGAGGGGGGAGGGAAAGAGCACTGTTGCTTTAAAGGAGCCAACCGGACAGCAGCCACTTACAGCAGTGTAAGCAGCTCCTTTCCACTCCCGCTTTGCTCCTTCTCTCCCTCTTTGCTGCTTTACACAGCTAATGGTGAATCCCCTGCAACCCAAGTCCTGCTCAGCGGATCAGCTGAGACGCTGGGAGAATTGTAATTTCCCCCTCTCCCTCATCCCGTGCCCTCCTGTCCCCAGCAGCCTTTTAAAAAACTTTTTTACTGGTTTTCACTGCGCTCGTGGCTCAGAGCCCTCCTGTGCCCTGCCATCCCTCTGCAGCCTCATTGCTCCGTTTAGAGCGCACGGACCTTTGCTAGCTGAGGCTGCAGCAGCTGTTGCTGGCTACGCAGCGCTTTTTCCGGCTCGCTATGGCTCCCGTCTGTCCCTCCTCGCGTGTAAGCGGCTGCTGCCCGCTTTGCTGGCATGGCTCTCCTTCCCTCCCTCCTCCTCAGCTCCACCCCCTCCTCCTGGCTGTAAAGCAAGCATGAGTGCATTCGCTCTGTAACACGCACAGGCATTTTCCCTTCCTTTCTAGGAGCAAAAAAGTGTGTGTTTTGGAGCGAAAATTACGGTAATTCCCAGCAAGCAATTAGCAGGCTCGCTCCACCTCCTCCTCCTCCCGGCTTTGCTGCTGCTGCTGCTGCTGCGCGGCTCTTTTCCTCCACCGACGGCGCGCTGCGCCTTGGAGAGGTTCCCGCTTCCTCGAGGGGGGCCGGCCAAACGCGCCCCCCAAAATGTTGCGCCCGGTGCGGCCGGCACCCCTGGCACCCCCCACGCTACGCCACTGTGTGTTTCAAATCTAATGTCGTTGATAACTCAGGAATAATTGATTCAGTACTTCTCACTAATATGCTCTAGGTTTTAACACAAAATTGCCTGGATAAAACACACACACACACACACACACAATTATCACCTAACATTTATTAAAGGAAATAAGTTAAGGAAATTGTCCCCAAGATTAGGAGGTATTAGGTTCCTATCATCTGATAGACCTGAAATATCACAAATATCTCATTATGAGGCAATTTCTCAAGATGAGATATGTGGAAAATCACAGACATACATCATAAGCCCCTGCTTCCCCCCCCTCCCAAAA